TTAGCTTCACAACAACAGGTTCTTTGATATGTTTTTCTGAGAGGAAGTGACGAAATGGTTAGTGCACCGTAGGGAAAACTGAGTAATGGGGTGTGAAAATTCGTAAACATATTTTCTAACTTCTCGTCTGTCTGTGTAGGTTCACTCTTAAGTCTGAGTATTTTTATGCCCGGATAGGTGGGCCTCTAACTCTTTGCACTTGATTGAAATGAGCTGCTAGTGACATATTTACAACAGTTGACCAGGTCATTTGGAGGACGGTGTAGCGCCAATTTGTCTCTCGTTTCCGGGGATGCTTGAAGTGATTTTTACACTATGCATGAGCAATTTGCAATGCATTTCTTACAAGAGAGCGGAAATTCAAAATCAAACGTCCGAGAATTGGCGAAAAGCAGATAAAAATTGCTACTACTTTTTTTTTCGTAAGAACAGCTATGACATTAGCCCCTCCTTCTGGTCTCGGAGTTGGCCTCGAAAATAACTCCATTTATGGGAAATGACAAACCGATATATTTAAAATAATGCTAAACTTTTATAAGGTGCTGCCTCCTAGCGCTGCTATTTCACCTGTATAATCCAGCATCTGTTACTCCACTTTCCAGTTAGATTATGCTTCTGGGAAATTTCCATGCCTCTCATCGATGGTCGTTTGAATTTCCAACCATTTTCATCTATTAAGTAATCTATGATCATCTTGCATCTAGTTTATTTCTTGCAAAAGTCTGATTTTTTGGAATACTGCGCAATTTCAACTTTCTTTTTTAGAGTATTTTCTCCCATCTTATGAACGAAAAAAGACGTAGATTAGAATAATAAGTGGTACTTAGCAGAACACCGGTGCGAGCTCCGCCCATACAAATATTATAATATCTGCTTTCTCGGCCAAATTCAAGATGCTATTTTGCGATGCTAAAGAGATAACCAAAGCTCTCTTAGACAAAAGCTAAGGTCACCTTTCTCAACGAGACCAAGCAAATACACCTCAAAAACCTTTTCTTTCTTGGAGCATATACTGGTACCAGCTCCGCACATTCAGTGTGTTTCCCGCGCACACAGTGTGCACACTCTCCCCACTTTTCACACTCTCTCACTTAACAGAATGCGCGATCGCCTTTTCATCTGAGGAACAAAGTTTCGTACAAATCTTTACTTTAAATGAAAGACAAAGGCGAATCGCTGCTCTGTTTTTGTATCAAAGCAAACTTTCTCGTACGTTAAAGCAAGCATGGCTAACTTTTCTGCTCTGAATTGACTTCTAAGTTCCATTAGCTCAAAAACCTAAGATCAATTTGCTTTTTTACAATTACACTACAGCATGCTAGAGCTTAAATCTGCATTTTTACTACCTGTGCCTTCATCATATCTCCTTGATTATAACTCTGCAATTTTTGCTGTTGAGATTATCGTTATTGTTTCTATCGACTTCTAGAGAAGGTCTGAAACCCCGTAAACTAACTTATTCAAGCGAATAAAACAAGGTTCTGCGGAATTTTCGAGGAGTGTCGTTGCTGTTGGAGGATCATTAGGATGATGTTTGAGCACGTTACGGAGACTATCAATCGAATTTGGACGGCCCCGGCATAGGCACCCTCTCTGGGCTCTTTTTCTAAGTATTTATTCGAAGCAGATGGGCCTCTTGGTAAGTTGTGAGATCATCTCGGCGGTCGAGGTTTGAGTTTTAGGGAAAGATAGGTCGGAACATGAGTTTTATTACACTTTTAAACGGAAATATTTGAATCAAATGATGTGCTAGTTCCTCGTTTTTGGAGACGACAAAATCTTCAGAAAATTTCTTCTCATTTTTAAATCACCCAGACAATTGTAATTTTGTGATATACATATCAAACAAGAACTATCGATTTCCAATTCTTTTGTAAAAATTTTCGTTAACATTTTGACAAACTGGGGCTTGTTATTGAAGAGCTTGGACCAGTTTTATCGGCACAGAGAAATTATGAGAACCTGAAAAGGTAAAAAAGAAAGTTATGAGAATTTTTAGAGGGTGAGAAACATGGGAATTGCTGTACAGCTCCAGAATTGCTATGAACTTCGTATGCGTTTGCATAGTTGATTTTTCTTCTAAGTGTTCTACGCCAGAGAATTTTTCCTCTCCTTTCCAACTATGGATACTACTACTTTGAGAGAAATAAATGGATCTATGCCATCGTTTTTTTTCGAACTAATGCTCGAGTGGAGAGTTCTCTATTGTTTCGAAGCGCTAGTTTCGATACAAAAATGCGTGCGCGTGATTGTTTGTTTTTGAACCAGTGCATGATCCACTGCTTTTGTGCAAACACGGGTCCTCCGGACCATCATCATCGCCACACCTTCTTCTCGTACGAGAGTCATCATCACCCCGAGAAAACATCCCACTAGAAACATTTCTGGCCCACTGATTCATAATCTTTTGTGCTTTAGCGTCCCGATAGGGCCCATGTAAGCCCAGCTTTTCTGGAGAGTCATTTTTCTTTCATTTACCTTCATCTTTGAATCCTTAGATGCGGAATAGGGTGTGCATCTCGTTATGACGTCGTTCTTTCTTTTTGTCTCATCATCTCAGCCCCTCATTATAGACGTTTCTGTCTCTAACCTACATTTTGCCTGATTAAATTTTCTTTATCGACCGTCTACTCATTAAAACCTTTTTTCCGTTAGTTCGCACATTAGCATGCTTTTGCAGCAAATAATCTCTCAATTGAATATCACTTTCTCTACACCTTTCATTTTTAGTGTCGATTAGAATTTTCGCCGAATAAAACAACCTCTGGTGCACTTTTTTCAAGGCCTTGTCGTTCATTTATACTTTGTTTATTTACTCATTCACACCTCGACAAGACGAAAAGAAGTAAGAAAAACCCTTAAACTATGAAAAGTTGTTTTGACGATTTATGCTCCGTCATTGATACAGGGAAGTGCTCAATTGTATACGCAAGTTACAATCAAAAAAGAAAAAAAAAACAGGAATTTTAGGCTGTTTAGAATTTCTGATGTTGCGAGCAAACCTAACGAGGAGATTATCAAAGCATCATCTGACCATATTATACCCTTTTAAGACAATTGAGGCATAAGCGACCTTCATCCGCTAAAAAAAACCTATGCTAATCATAGAATAACGATCATAGATTAAGCGTTTCTTTTAATCATTAAAGTTTGCTGGATTTTTACTTAATCTTCTCGACATATAAGTTACAATCCTTTCTCAGAGTTTTTGTTGATTCATGCGAAATAACTAAAATTTCTTCTGAGAAAATAGGCATTTTTGGCAGAATAAGCAGGTTTCTAGAAAAGTTCAAGAAATTAGATGCTTGAAGTTTGACGCAGACAATGCATCGGTTACGGCAGACATTGCGGCGCGGTTTGCTGCCTTTAAGTCGCAAAACGAAAATAAGATGTGAGAACAGCTCGAACAGCGGCTCAAGCTGGAGTATCTACGTCTTTACAAATCTATTTTACAAATTAATACTAACTTGTTAACTACTTCTTGATATGATTGTTTTCACGGTAGTCTGAAAGTGCCAAGTAGAAAAGATTTGACCTTGGAGGGAAGGGAAGGGAATTTTTCTTTTCTTGGAAAAATCAAATGTTGAGCAATGTTCAAAATCTCTTCACTTCTACTGCAAAGAGTCTTCTTGCATGATCTTTCATTGCAAGCTGCAGATTTCACTTGCACATCCGGTTCTTTGTTCCCTTACCTAATATAATTCTCTAGCATAAAGTGCAAAAGCAGTAATTGTGTACCATCTGCGACTAACCAAGTTTGCCATATATTTTGCAGTTTCGTTGTACTCGTTCGTTTAGCCTCACGTCATGGTTCAGAATTTTTTTGGTTGTTTTCACTTTGCTTGACGTAAACTCAGATTATCGCGCTCTATCTTGACATTTTTCAATTTTGCCACAGCTGCAATATAGAAGGTAAGTGGCCAACAAACTAAGGCTTAGATTTACATTATATAACATGTGTGAACTTTTCATATGCTATACCCTTTTCGTGTTGAAGGGGCGGGATTTGAGTTGACACTTCTTTGGTTAAGCTAGGTGCTAGTAGAAGTAAACGTTCACACATCCTTTGTGTCTCCACCTACTGTGAAAGTTTAGACCACGAACAGAAGTTGTTTCGGGAAAACTCTCGTGTTGTCCAGTTCCTGACAAATTTTACATAGTTATCAAGTTTTTTTATTAGTCAATATCTCTCTATGGTTCGATGCTGTCATTGTTGCAGTGGACAGAATAGAATGCTAAACTAATAATTTCATTGTTAGGGTGGTCGTCAGCTTTTTAGCGCTTTATAGATCCATTAAATGTTCTGTTGAATTTTGTTGAAGCTTATTTCTATCGCTGGAAATTCATGCTTCTTTCAACTAATTAATTAGTTTGATTAATTCAAAATTCACAAAAAAATATTCAGCGAATGGAAAAGGTATCTTATGTTATTCCAAACTGAGAACAACTCTAGTGTTTTTTCTGCCTCTTTTTATTTTTGCTGTCATTTCTTCATTAAAACTTTTACTAACAATGCCGAGGTTTACGAAAGAGGAAACTTGGAAGTTATTTGCTGCCATTTCTTTTGTTTCTGTTTGAAATTTTGTTCAAAGAACTAAAATTTGATCCAATTTTACAAATTATTCTACATTCTATCCTTTCCCTAAATTTCTGCTCATGAGTATGACCTCATCTTTCTCTTTAGCAAACAAAACCAGCATCATGTCTGGTACAGCTAGGCCAAGGTCAATTCGCTCTTTAATCTTTAGTCTCGAAAGCAATAATCCTTATTATAGCTATTTTCGCTATATCCATATCCTTATTATATAGCTCATCCTAATTTGTGTGAAATCTGAGCCCAAATGTGGGAAGGATTGGGGGTGGGGCGCCGGTAATTTCGTCTGAAAATTAAATTTCGTTTTCCTATTTAATCATGTATATTTCCATGCCTCATTATGTTCTTTTTCGCCATTTCCAGCGTTAGATTTCTTTATTTTTGCCAACTTAATCCATCGAATTTCAGGGTAAGCCCCTTCGACCATGAATTATTCTCTAAAATGCTTGCCCGAAGAACAATTGCGACTTTCTGGTTCCGAACTCGAGCACCTTATCTACACTGCCTTTTTCCCACCTTTATGTGTTTTTGGGCTTATTGGCAACACACTAACCATTATGGTCCTCGTCAGCAATGATCTCATGTCTAGGTAAGTCAAATGTACTTTTACGACCTTTGAAAAGGAAATAATTATCTTTTATTGTCAATTTTCCACTCTCTGATTAACCTATGATAAAAGTGCAATGAGGGCGTGCCAGCTATGAACTTCTCATATGGTTCGCGATAAATTTATGATAATTAACTCTAACCTAGGGACCGCCAAGTTTTTTTTAGAGTATGAAGCTGTGCGATAGTTTGTGTTCAATATACACATTATAGTAGGACACTGGTTAAGAGTCTCTCCTATGAAATGAAGCCATTTGGGAGTTATAAGCAGAAAAATTGTATTGAACTGCTATTTGAAGAATTTTTCTGCTTTCTGGGAACTGAAGGGTGTTGTATAGCTGAATGAAACATCAAACTTCTATACTTGGATAATCATCTGTCCTCGAGTCATTTGTATGTGCGTCTGCACAATATGCGAGGTGACCGACGACACTCTTAGTAACACCCTCATTAAAACCTTTTGTACTATTGATTGAATAATTGACGTATCTAAGCAAAAGATACAAGGAAACAATGAAAAATTGCTAGAAATGAGCAGCTTCTAATCTTACAAGTCGTCAGATACAGCGCATAGTGTGCAATGCGCATATTACGTTACAAATAACTCAACAATGTGTAATGTCCGCCAATCAAAGGAGATAGACGCTTGTGGCAAATTATAAATTTTCTCTCCTAAAGCGAATATATATTCTAAAAGGTGACAGCCAGGATTTTTCAAGAGATGGGTTTACAAGGAAAGGGGCGTGAAATCACTTTCCATTTCTCTCAAAAAAAATTTTGGGGCATTTGAGAATGAGCATAAATTATGAGGAGAGAATGATAATTTCGGGAAGAATGTTTCGCACCAAGCAATCTTTGAAAAATTCATAAACTCATTAGGCTTATTTATGAGAAAAACTTATCTGCATAATTTTATAACGCATTATGATATCATGTTTATGTACAACATAGTTAGATACATACAGATACAGTTAAAGTAAAAAAAAATAAAATCAAAAAAATGGCAAATTTAAAAAAAAAAATTAAATAAATTTGAAAAATCAACAGTGAAAGTAAATTGATAGTCAGTTTAAATTTGAATGGTAATTTTTATGGTACATTTTGGTAAAATCAAAAATAGATATCTATATTCACGACTCAAAGCAATAATCGAAGATTTTTCAGGGCGAATATCTTTCTTGCCTGCTTGGCCGTATGTGATGTCTGCTTCCTCATCCTGATGATTCCACATTCCATGGGCAATTTCGACTACTTCGCCTTCAACCTCCTATTTCGATATCTGTATCTGCGTTCGAAAATTCATCTCGTTGCTTTCGCCAACTGGACGTCAGCTGTTTCTATCTGGTTAGCTAACACATATAATCGAGCCGTTCATTCATGAAAAGTTTGAAAAAAGAGGGGAAAATGGGGTCCAATCGATCGAAACTGAATGGCACAAAAGTTCTCTTGATTTTGTTTTTTGCTGTGCGAAAACCATAGTTAGAAGGGATTGGCAAATGACAAATGAGGAACTGAGCGTCTATTTAGACATCATTCCAAACATTCTAAATATGGGCATTTGGCGACTTCTTGATTGTGTCCTCGATGCAGCCAATAGCTTTACTCATTGAATTTTTGATGAATAACTCTCGATTTTTATAGATGACAATGTAGGCCATAAGTAAATACAAGATCTAGTGTTCACAAGAGAGTAGAGTTCAAAACATATTTCGAAAATTGTGCAGAAACAAAACCTACCTTTAGATTATTATGCAATTTCTGATTTTCACAAAATCAATACAGTTTCATGAGCATAAAGTTTCAGATGTGGAAGCTCAAAAAACAGCTTTTGGGGGAGGGGGTTAGGCTGAGATTAACGATTTTTCGAGCAAAAAATACGAAATTAATAACGTCTGGACGAGCAAGCATTTGTGAAATCGTACAGAGCAAAATCTAATTAATATTTTTATTTGATATGGATGATTTTCGAATTTTGTCCCTAAACACTATTTTTTAGAAAATTTTTACATCACGAAACTCATTGCACTCAAATACGTAATTCAGTTTTTCGATACATATGCTCCCTGTTTTTAGGTGTCTGGAAGAGGAATTTTACAATGATAGATTTCAGATTCCAAATAAGATTTTTTAATGTCCATACGATGTTACATTGGCTGTTATTTTAAGCTCCAGCTTTTTTCTCATCTCTGAACCGCTATTTCAACTCTTTCAATTCTAGCTCTGCTCTCCACGACCCAGACTCTCATTAAGTTTTTTTTTCTCAAGTTTAAATAAAGAGAGATCAAAAGTGGGCAAAATGTGTGCACTTTCCTTTGAATATCCGACAATCTGAGTTTTTAGCAAAAATTCATTTATGCGTCTTGAGTGCTATCAGCTAGACGGAACCAATTTTGTTGCAACTCGAGAACTTTGGAAAAATGTTAAAAATGCAAAATCTCACTAGATGGGACTAGTAAATGCCTCGTGAGATATACTGTACTACGGACTTATTTTTTCGTATTCTACCTCGTCGCATGACTAACCGTCTCGTGACTGCACACATATTGTTTTTCTCTACAAGCGCCCGTCGGGTTATATTTCACGTGGATTTGGGAAACTCACGCTTTTCGTGTGGAAGAGCTTGGGGAGAAGATGGGAATAGAAGTTAGCGTAGAACTTTGCGCTGAGCATAAAAGGTGTTGGCCTACTTTAGGGAAAAGAAGTGTCCACCAAATCGGCGCCTAGATTACTTATGTGGATCTGTCGAGAGGTCTGAACTAAGGCACTGCACAAGCAAGCTCATATAATTCCTTCGTGGCCAAGAAATTCTACTTTAACTTTAGTCCGTACAATAGTTTTCAGTGTATTAAAGAGGCTGCTTGCTGGATGGAATAGGGTCTGGGTCGAAATTAAAATTGTTTTTTGGTTAACTTCCAATCTCTAATTACTGCCCATACAGTACTCCTTCCAAGCGGATAAACTAACTTGTCTAAACTAAAGCTGAAGTGATTCACTCTGCCATGAAGGAAAAAGTTCAAGCCGCAATCTTAGCAAAGGTCCAAATAAGTTCTCCTAAACAGTATCCACACAGAAAATCCAAGCCTTGGTCTGCCCCTGCCTTCGAAGGGGGGGGGGAGAGGGCAATCAACACACAAATTACTTTAGTGCTGTAAATCAGTCGAGTTGCTTTATGAGAAGAAATGTTTTGCCAAAGCAGTTTACTCAAATCTCATATTTTACTTGTCATCTCTTTGATAGCCGCAAAATTTATTCCGAAAAGCCAAGGACCTCAAACTTTCAAACTCCTCAACTATTCTTAAGGGGTGTTCACTTGAGGGGGTCAAACAATTCAATTAGAGTGTATATAGAGGGGTGTTCTCGTGTTCCGCGCCTTCCAAGTGGGCGGGTTTGGTACAGTGGGTGGATCTGGAAATGATGCACGCTGCAGTCCTTCATTTTTTCGTGCTACGCGACCGATTGAAAGTGCAAATTGGAAAAGAAAGGGAGAAAATTTTTTTTGTTTTGCCATATAAGCGAGTGACAAGAGTTACGTCACGATTCTGTACCGTTCAGTACAATAACTCGCGAGAGAAGGAAAGAATAGTTTGATCTTCCATATGCTACTACTGCAGTTTTCTTCCAGGCTTGTTGTCGGTGTTTGCTTCGAACGAGTCATTGGTGTGAGATCACCTCTTCATCGACTTGCCGCCCCATCTAAACGAAGACTTGCTGCAGGTGAGATCATTTCTAGCCTTGCTCTGAAAAAGAGGAAACGGGGAGGCGAGGGGGGGGAGAGGGAGGAGGGGGAGTGCTCGCGTACTAGCACATTTGCACCTAATGATGCCCTAGAGGGTTAGGCGCACTCTTTCGCTGCAAATGAAATCAAGAGCGCAACACTTCCGAGGTGATACCCTCGCCATAAGAGGGCTGTGTTTGCAGAAGCAAAGCGTCTTTTCATGAGAATGAACAAAAATATCATATTAAGACTAATCCCGAAATCGTCCAAATTTCTAACTGCGAGTATACTAAGTTGGTTTGGAGTGTTGTCTATGGACAAGTTAATGCATAGCTGCACGAAAATTTAGTTATTATCCAAGATTTTAGTTATAAAAATCGTTCAGGGCAGTCAATTCACTTTTATGCCATAATCTCGCGATATCATGAGAGATAATGGCTTTTGCGAAGTCGATTTACGTTTTAAAAAATTATGGAAGAATATACCATAGAGTCCTAATCTTCATCTTTTTATCACTGACAAGATACGTAAACCGAAGTAGACTATGCAGCAGCAATGATTTCGCGATTAGGGGATAAAATTTACTAAGGCGAGTCACAAATGCCAGCGCCGTGCCAGCGCCGTGCCTGAACGTCGCTCGGTCAGTACGAGGAGCGTCCATGTGGTGATCCGGCACGAGCCTGGCACGGCGCTGGCACACGTACCACGGAAATTAAGTATGTCATCTACAGTTCTGCTATATAGCGTAGATCATATCAGGGTAAGGATAAAGGATAAAGGATAAAGGATTTGGAGACTTCAATACATTCTGCGCACATGCTCCGAACACATTCTTCATATTCAAAGAGGCAGTTGAATGGGTGCAGGCCTTTTATAATGACTTGCGGGGCCAGCCGATCACCAAGTCAGTGCTTTTATCCTCCCAGATTACTCTGGTACCACCTTATCGGCCCCGGAGGGTAGAGGGCTTGGTTGGCCCAGGGCGGGATCAAACCTCGGTCCGATCTGGTCACAGCGGCGCCTTATATCACTATGCCACTCTTCTCTCAGATTAACATTGAATTATATCAAATTCTTGGCCTGTAGAAGTCTGAGAGAAGATAGTATGTTGCAGAACTGTCTCCATTTGTTGGTGACACAGTGCGTGAACGACTAAAGAATCAAAAACCGAAAAGAACTAATTGAACAAAAAAATTTTAGGTCTTTTCCTCTTATTATCAGCTTGTGCAGCGCTGACGTGCTACAATCACGTGTCACAGCAATGCTTTATGAAATTATTCTGTCACGATACTCAATGGATATCGATGTGCTTGGATGTAAACACAAATGCGTGAGTCTTCCAATTCATCTTTTCGATGTAAATTCTGTTAGAAAAAGAAAAATAATCCTTGCAGCTTGCAAGGGAACAGCACAAATCCAACCTCACATCTTCTCCGTCAGTATGTGAAATGGATGAGAGCGGCGAATGTTGCTTTGGTCATCGCGATACCCTTGCTGTTTTTGGTTATTCTGAACACTATGCTCATGTATTATGTGAAGAAAAGGTGGTTTTCTGCATGTGGACCTGATCTTTACCCTCATGAAAAGTTCGAATGCTCAAGATCCTATTTCCTCTACGCATCACTGAGCAAAGTGTCACGACGTATGCATCGAGAAGGTCAAGCATCTTTGCCGTTCGTTGCCACTTTGTTTAGGAGACATAGCGATCAGGTAGTATTTTTTTGCTAGGGGAGAAAAATAAGTGTGAAATGATTGTATTCCAGCTGGTCCAACAAAAAATGGAGCACAGAGTGGCGGTGACTGTCTGCGCTGTTGTAACATCTTTTACTATAACTCAGGTGAGCATCAGATGTTATATAGCTATCAATCATTTGTTACTGACCTGCTGACACCTTACTAGAAAATTTTTCTTGGGAAAAATAGCTCAGATTTTATGTTCCAGGCACCATCAGCAGTGATTTTATTTCTGATGGCAATCTGGGATGACAGACCGTTCAGATCGCCAGGACAATTGTAAGCAAGAAATTTTGAAATTCGTTATTTCACACTTGCAAGTACATATAGTAGAAAATTTGCGACTTATGTAAGCTAAAGTTCCTAAAAATAATAATAATTGCTAAATTAGATACGCAGACAATGCATGAGACGCGACCACAGCAGCGGCGCCGCATCCACGCCATTGAAGCAGCGTCCAGGCAAAATTCATGCTACCCCTATTGGCACCCCGCCTGATAGCAGGTCCGAGGAGAGAGGCACCTGTGTTAATCCGGTCCTCCATTGTGGCCTCTGAATGAAGAAGATGGTCCTGGAACCTGCGGAAGCGCTAGCTAACCACGCCCACTCTGTCAAGCTCCGCTCATCTAGCACCTCGAAGTTGGCTGTTTCAAATAGGGTTTCCAGAAATAGGATTTTCGGGGTTTCACACATTTTGCAATTTATATCCGTAATTAGGGCCACGGAAAGGCCCCAGAATGACACAAACGTGGCAGCCGACGATCAGGGCTCGGCACGAGGTGGCTAGATGAAAATGGAAAAAACGAAGTCCCCCTTGACTTTTGGGAATTTTTACGAAGTCCCTTTTGACCCTCAACCAAATTTCCTCTAAAAACCTGGAAAATTCCCCAAAATCCCCCAAAAAACGAAACGTCGACTAAAAAAAAGGTCGCCGTCGCCAATTTTCCGTGTATCTTCGGTCACAAAAACGAAACCCCCTTTGCTTTTCGTCCCAAAAACCATATCCAGCTTGCTTGTAAGCCACCTCGTGCCGAGCCCTGCCGACGATTGGTGGATGCTGCCTTTGAGTCGCAAAGAAACGCGCTGCTGCGCCGGTCGCAAACAATGCGTTGTCTGCATCTTTACAAATTTACTTTGCATTAACAAAAATTAGCATTACATCAATCTGATTGCATTTTTTACAGATACAACCTACAAGTGATCACCAGTTTTCTCGTCATTGTTGGGAAATGCTTGAATTTTGTGGTATTTTGTTTGAGTAGCGAGAATTTCCGTCAAAAACTCGTTGCCACCTTACGAAGTAGGTGTGGAGGGTTGAATGAAGAGAAGTTGGCATTTACTTTCTTTAATTGCTTGTCAAAATCCTATTCAATACGTTATCAAACTGTTTTAGGAGATGTCACTCAGTGTTCACGACTTATACACGATGCGACAGTCGCGATTCTCGAATTTTGTCGGCTAAAAAATCTTTTCAAAGTATATAATGCTGTATTTATTATTTTTTGTGTATGTAGTTGATGTTGTTCGTTTATGTTGATCATTCCATCAAAAGAATAATAAATCATGTGATAAATATAGATAATGAAAACAATAAGTAAAATATGTGAAGAGGTCATCTGAAGAGGTCATTTGATTTTTCGACGTATCCAGATTGGCGCAAAAACCGGCAATTGAAATTTCCAGGCTAGTAAATAGAGCCGTGAAAAACATGTTTGAACCACAATCAACTTTGTTTACTGGTCCGGAAAGTTCGATATTGGAAACCAGTTACAGTACCGAGAATACAGAATTTCGTTTGTGGAGAAGATACTCACAGCACCAAGAGAGAATTTGTTGAAATTTTGTTGGGTGAGATGTAGGGCTGCACAGAAAATATCGAAAGTGAATCGTTATGTATTTCGATGCCTTTTCTTTCATACAATTAGACGTCTAAAATGGCCTAAATTGTCACCTGTGATTCCAAACTGTCCAATGTGCAAGATCTCAAAACTTCAGAAGTTTTTGGAGTAAAAAATGACCCTTAAAGGCACTGTCCACCCATAATCTATTCACCCCAGATTACTGCTTATCCTACTAGCAGGACCCAAAAGTAGACTAACCGAGTTTGTCTGGTCCCCAAATGTTGCCTAGAGGAGATAACGGACCTGATCCTCTTTGCGCTCAGCCCCCTTTTTTGCGCTCCGCCCATTCACGGATTGCCATGTAACTTGTTCTGACATGACCAACAGCGTCGAGACGCATAGTTAATGATGTGGCACTGTTGCACACGGCGAGGTTTACTGTAGCATACGACGTGACTAGTGCCGGAGCACTCGTCCACTTCTGCCAAAATAGGGCTTCAAAAAGGGGCAATTATGGAGCTTGGTTATTTGAATTTCATATCCGAAATCAGCGCCATGGAAAGGCCCGATAACAATAAAAAGATGGAAGACGAAATTTTGGGTGGACTGCCTTTAAAAGATCGAAATGGGGTAGGGGAATGAAAGCCGCCAGTTTGAGCCGCCTTTCGCGGCTAACTGGTCCTTTCGCAACGTTGTTGCATGTCGTTCCCGGACCAGTAGTCCGCGCAGGCGGCCCAAGCTAGCGGCTTTCGTTCCCATACCCATTGAAATGCGCTCAGTGATTCCTACCGTGATGTTACAAAACAAAGAGTAATCGATTATCTTTTTCATAGTGTAATTTAAAAGAAGAAGCTGTACAGATTTACGCCAGCAAAATGAGAGGCATACTGCAAACCCAAGCCATTCAATCTTGAAATGACAAAAATTCAAACAGGAACTCCTAAATTTAGACCACACGAGAGGACAAATTATTACTGCCGATTCTGAAATTTTATGATTCAAGTGCTTTTTTTCTATCTTTCACTTTGTGTCACTACTAATGATTGCTACATCATCTGCTAAGAAGCGCTTTATCGGAATCGCTGTGATTCTCTGCTCCAAAAGCTCTTAGAGGTCATCACATAATGCAAATGTACTGTAAGCAGAAAGATCATAAAACTCTAAACAATATCTGGCCCCTTGGGATTTTAGAGCAGAAAGCGGTGAAAATCACTTTTGAAATCTTCATAGTTCTAAATCAGATAGAAATGGCTTTGTTGAAAAACACTTTCGGGGGTTAATCGCTGGAATTACGAAAAAATCTATTCTGAGTAAATCATATGCTTCAAAACAATCTTGTTCAGTGGTGCATGCATAGTGCCTCTGCCAGATATTTATACATTATCCCTCGGCCTTTGTGGTTATCCCACATAGTCCCTACATGAAAGCACCACACAAACAATCGCAGTTTACTTAACCCGTAACCCACAAAGGTAGAGTTGCCCTCAGAGTTTGTGTGTCTATTTTTTCCCGCGGCGCTAGAATGCGCTGATGTCGCTGAGGTGCAACGCGCTGAATGATGTAGTCGTGAGCTCTTGAGCCGTCGAAGCACATTCGTAACTGCACCGCTACAATGTTTACCCTATGCGCTACTTATATAAGTCGAATACGCGGTTTTCCTATTTCAAATGATTCGATTTGCACTGCTTCTCATTCTCCACACAGCCGTCCCAGTTGTTCGAACACAGTACATGGGCTATGGAGCTTTTGGAGGTAAGTGATAGCATCAGATTGCCCTATCTACGATTAGCAAAAAGTTGCGCCTTTAAGAATTTCTTGAAAATTCCTCTCGCGCGAGACTTCATGAAGAAATGTTCTGCCAAGCCACCATTCAAGACTCTCAATCAATTCTCTTTCAAAAACTTTTCAAACCCAGATAAAATTTTCCCAGTTTTTCGCACATTTTTAGGAGGTCTCTCTCAAGTTATTATTTGCAAATAAAACAGGCACAATCCCTTATTTCATTCCACATCCCAGTCAAAGTTTTCTTCGAGAAGGGCTTGACCGGAGCAGGAATTTCCCATCCCTCATCTTCCAAAAGTTGAAATTTGTGTAGCTAGGGATTCGAGTTATATTATCGAGTTGTTATCTCCTTTATAGGATATCCAATGAATCCAATGATGGTGAATCCCTTTGGGATGCCTACACCATATGGGCTCAATCCATTGTATGATGCTATGATGTACGGTGAGTCTTTTGCGAAAGATTTTTCAGCTCTTCATCCTCCATGTCCGGACGATTCTTGAAGGGGAAGGGGAAAATCACAGGGGCAAGTCCATTTTCACTGTTTTTGCTATGAGGACTTTATCTCGAAAAATTTGTGTGAAGGTGAAGCAGTGTTCAAGCAAACCTATGTATCTAACCTTTAGAAAACTTGTTTAGGCCATTGGCCAGTTGTCGCTGTCGCTCTGACTCCTCGCCCAGAACCGTACTTTGCTCTCTCCTTTGCGTCCTCAAGTACGGTATTGGGCGAGAGTTCAAAGTCGAATATTTCGGCCAAGAATGAATCGTGTGAGGTGCTACTTTTACATTGTCTTAGCCAAAACATCTGTTAGTATCAGCTTGAAAATTAGGTACCTAGACTAACCTGGAGGTTGCAGTAGGCTAGGTTTACCTGAAGCGCATTCAAGCTCTTTCTCATATTTTTACTGCGACCAAAACGGGCATGGATGGATTGACGAGCACATTCTTTTGTTCTCCTTTGAAATGATAAAGCTGCTTGCAGCCGATTGCATAGGTTTGAGCCCATGTCCCATGGGGGTACCGTATGGAGGTTATGGCATGTACGGCGGTATGCCTGGAATGACTGGTATGACTGGTATGACTGGTATGACTGGTATGACTGGCATGACTGGTATGACTGGTATGAATGGTATGGGAGGAGGTGCAGTCAATGGAATGAATGGGATGAACAACGTACAAAGCAATGTTGGAACCCTCAATAACGGAAATACGATGCGAACTTCAATGAATAGACTGGCAGGTTTGTACATTCATTGCTCATGAGATATAGGCGTTTCATCGTACGCAGAGACAGTCCACTACTGCGGACGCTGTCGGCGTCTCTCAGATCAAACGCACTTTCATTCGTCTAGCCGTTTCATGTCTCTGCCAAACACGAACTATCTTGATCGGACACAAATGCGTCCATTCTTCGCGTGCGATGAATCACCCATATTTTTCAGTTCCAAAATCTACTATACTAATGTGTCCAAATTTAGGCTCAAGAACTAGATATGGACCAGTGGGACAAGGATGTCAGACAGCTGGTTGTAACTCCGGGAATTGGTGGGATTACAAAAAATTGAAGGTCTGAAAGTCCAGGACCAGGATTTTTCAGTCTGTGTTGTGAATATGTATCTCAACCCCTGTCTAATTATTGGCTGTGCCCCAGTGCCCACAACTCTCGAAATTGATACGAAAGAAAGCTATAAATTATGTCACAATTATGTTGCAACTCCTTTCACGATATTGTTTAACGCCATTGATCAATCAATTGATCATCGCCCGACAATCTCTTTACCTTCGGTATGCTCTATGAGCGGTGCTCTCTTTTTCCTATCCTACTGATCTTGCTTATATTATTTCTATTCATTTTCCGAAAGCGAACGTTGGTTTTAGATGTATATTGATCTACAGAGTGTAAAAGAATTTGTCATAGTTGTCACAAAATGAGGTTTTCCAAATGATGAGAATTGATCCTCTCAGAGATAGGTCCAATAATTTTCTCAGAGATCTTCTTGAAAAATTTGATGAGAGCAAATCCTCTATTCGACGATCAGACGTTGTACCAGTCACAAGATGAAGGTGAGAGATGGTTTGTAGTTTGTCATTTTCAGAAGAGTCTCAGATGAATTAGAGCCAGACAATTGGAAATGACTTCCGGGGAGAACTGAATTTCTAACAATAAGACTTTCGAAAGGACGCTCCTATTGGGCCGTATGGGTGGGCCCCGCCCTACCTACTCCGCCCTAGCTGGCAGCCCCAAAAGTGTCTCCCCGGAAATTTTAGAAGTTCAGTTTCCACTGGAAGTCATTTGCGATTGTCTGAGGGGTAAAGGATACTTGGCAACTCGGCCTTTTTGAGATCACCGGTGTACGGATAATTTTGTATGTCTTAGAACGCTGATCTCAAATTTGTTCTTTTCATATTTTTTACTCCATTCGGATTCCGATATCTCGAATGGGAACCCTAACGAAGTTATGAGCATTCGTCCGTGACTTGTAGAGCACCCAGTAAATAAGCTGCTCCAAGGAACCATGAATCATGCATAGCAAAATAATTATAACGTACTCCTACGTCTATAGCATACGCAGATTCGGTGATATTGCAGCCAAAATTTTTGCTTGCTCTAAATTTTCTCCTTGGAAAAAAAACTATTTTGGGCTGTCAACATGCGCCCCGCCTTTCATCAAACAATGAGGAAAGATGTGATATACTATGGTGGCACTTCACACACACGTTTATGATAGCTCTGTGAAAGAGTTGGAAAGAAAAGATTGTTTTTGTACTGTACAAAAGACGACTTACCATTGCCTGCAACAAAAAAAAAATTTGCCGGGACGGCGTGGCTAAAGGGCCGGGCATACTTCACGCGATTACAGTCGCGACGCGACTTGGCAATTCGCCAGAAGTCTTAGATCCAACACTAGCAAACTGCACATACATAGTGTGTAGAACTTTCATGGATTAGTTAGTAAAATGCCCCATCTTCTGTGTATTTAAAACGTCGCGACTAAAATCGCGTGAAGTATGCCCGGCCCTTAACGCAACGCACCTTCATTTGCCAAAAATCTTTGGCGCCCCTCCCCCCCCCCCCCCTCCGGACGAAAATACTATAGGCCGTCCGCGCTGCGCGCGGAGAGCAACGCTGTCGCGTACAGTGAGGGCAGTTCACGGCTGGACGAAGCGCAGAGCAAAACAGGCGGCGAGAGTGCACGAGGAAAGAGGAGTGATGCGCAATACACACCTTGCGCACTCTCCGCGCCCAGCGCGGACGGCCTATACGACCGCCACTGCCGATAAGTTGATTGAATATTGTCGTAAAGCACTCGTCTTTCGGCGACTTTAGGTACCATTCTGTAGAGCTGGGTTGGACCTGGAATTACAGTTTTAAGCGAGTTGATAATCGCTTTTCGTTGCTATAGGTTCACGGTGGAAATTCATACAATCATGGAGTTCGCGAGTTAGCTGCATGTTCAAAAAATTTCTATAACTTCTAAGACTTCCATAAAGGTGTTTTTAAGGCGCTGATTACGGTGTTGATTAGAACAGGTTTGTAGAGCACTCCAGAGGCGTGATCAGAATTTTGTCAAATTCAGAAGACTATTTCTAAGTGTACCTAGCAGACTTTTTACAAACGCCTCCGATTGAAAACCGAGATTTACAATCAAAGGTTTTGATTTACTCAGTAGATCTTCCAGGTTTTATTGGAGTCTATTTGGGGCAAAATTTGACTCTCAGTGTGCAAAATTCTATTCAAAGTTCCTATCGTAACCCTACAGTGATGGAGTAAACATGTCTGTATGTCGGCCGCCAGAGCGACCAAGAAGTGATCCTTGGCATTCGCCAGACGACCGTTGCATTCGAATGCGTAATTAAACAACACTCAAAGCTTCCAAAAGTCAAGATGGTATGATGGCTGTGGTACAATACAGTCTAGAATACATGTTGACTGATTGGTTTAGCTCTCATTACTTCAGTTAAGCTTCCAAACCATCGGCACACACGATCTCAAATCTGTTAGAATTTCTGCCGATTTGTTATAGTTTCCTTCCAACTGCATTGCATCAACGCGCACCATTCCATTTAATTTCGCTTTCAAAATTAACATCCGCTGTATCAAATATATGCGTGGCTAAAGTTTTGAGTATTGTAATCAATGCTTTAATTCTGGCTTCGTCAACAGACTTTGCAAGAAAGCGATTTTCAAACAAAAAAATTTCTGCGTTTACTTCAGTTGTATTTTTGAACCTTTTGATCTTTTTGTTAACTCTATAATTCAGCTTTGAAGCTCCCATTTACAAAATGCTTCTCGGCTGTTGCATTCACCGTGTGTCAAATATTATCCGCCTTCCAGCAATGGGAGAGGGGAATTTGGAGAGTTTTGCGAGAAGAAATTCGTTGCATGGAGAACAGGAAAAAAGAAGGGTTGCCCGAAGTTTAAAAACGTGGATTCCAGTGGCTCAAATTTTTTTACACTGAAGAATCCGAAGTGTGTGCTATAACAACTCGGGAAAGATAAGAGCAGTTTGCCCGATTTTGAAGAGTCGGTTGGAGGAAATTCTATGTAATACTCAATAGTATCATAAGTGAACAATAAAGGAAGTGGATTTGGCTCTTGAAAATATGCCGGCACTTTGATCGGGTCAAAGTAGAACTCTCATGGCGTTGAAAACTCATGGCAGGGGTAGATAAGATATTCCAAATGTGAAGCTCCGACATTGCAGTAATGTCAATATGTGGAAGAAATATCCCGAAATTAGGATCAGACCGAAGACCGAAAGAGTTTGACTTTCTTCTAAGGAGAAACTTCAAAAGAGGAAAAAAATTGATAGAAGGCGCTACCAAAAAGTTTCAGTCATCCTAGGCTTGCTCTATTCTTCTCCTCTAATCAGCAGCAGAAGTAGAAAAAAACTTCAGGGGTAGGGGGGAGGAGGAGAAGGAGGAGGAGGGGAGATGGGTGGAAGCTTCAGGGATGGCGGGTAAACGAGAAATGAACATAATCAAGTTCACTGCTTTTTATATAGTTGCGGGAGGGAGGTACTAGATAGACATAGATAGACACAGATACAAAAGTCTGTAGGAGGCAGGCAAACATCCACTTGCATTTCACTGAAAAAATCGTGCTTAAGAAGGATTGTAGGTTTCTGACAAGAGTGGGATGGGGCTTGCAGATGTTTGTGCCGGAATTAACTAGAGAGCGTTTGAGTTCTCTGGAAGTTTGTACGCTAGGGAGCCAACTTATAACTACGGCCTACATGGTACGCGTGCCTAAAGGATTAATGAAGTACCTTTCATTAAAATAACGTACGCCACAAAACTCCAAAGGTTTTGACTTTCAAACATATCCTACTTCGCACACACAGCCAGTACAAAGCGCCGCAAAGCGGCGCTTTGGACTGGTATATTATAAATCTAAGCTGAAATCAACATTACATCTCACCTGAAGGTCAGTGAAAGACATCAGACAAGAGAGATACCAACGATCAACCAATGAGGACATTTTTTGGGACATCCTGTACATCTAGAGATTTATGTGGAGATTAGGTAAGCGGTAGAGGGAACGCAAACATGCTTTGCCATTAGTCAACGCTTCTGGATTTTGATAACCCACTATATCTACAGGACGCTGAGTATAAATTCCGCAATCGTGGAACAGCTAAGATTTCGCATGTGCCTGCAATAGAATACGAATGAGCCAAATACTCCATACGTGAAAAAAAAATTCCCACCACTATCTTCTTTTTGAGGGCAACATGTCATACCTGTCCCGGTTTAATAAACCTGCCCTAACTTGCGCATGGCTGGAGTGTTACCAAAGCGACTGATACAATGTTTCTACACAATCACCAGGCTTGGTGGGTTACGTCTACCGGGAAGCCAGATGTCCTTATCGTGCATTTTTAGCTCAGGTTTACGTTTATTAGCAACACAAACGATCTTCTGAGCAGAAAAGGAGATGACGTGATAACATCAAGGCTGGTCCCGCGACGACTGATACCGTTTTACTCGGCTCAGTATGTGAGTGATAAAACCTGCCTCAACAAACTTTCACGCGTTGACGGGTTATTTTTTATCTCCGAGAAACCTGCTGGAGAAATAAACCAATTATTTCATCAACATCATAACTGGAGACTGGTAGCAATGGACGATATAGTGAGTTCCTGCACGGGGCTGGATATTCTGGATATTCTTGATATTCAGGATTTGAAATTCCTCTACGAATATTCTGTTCCAGATCAACAAGGATACAGCCGCATTCGTCAAACAACTTGAAGTCAGCAATCCTGAGTGTAGGGTAGGTGCCTCCTACTCATCTGCCTTGTAGATGCACCGCAAAACCTCGATTTGTAGGTGGAAGCCCAATATGCCCCAACTATCGACTTCACAAAGCATGTCAAGAATCTTTCTGTGCGCTATGTGTCAACTGTGCTACCCCAAGAATGCAACCTTGATGACTGGATTGTTTTGCCGCTCTTTCAGCACGGCCAGGCATGCTAATTTTCTTCAGAAGTAGGGTGATCTGAATTTTACAAACTTTAACTTTAATACGTTTTATAACTGTTTTGGAACTTTGATCATATGATACCTATCAGCTCTTAGCAGCGCATCACGCAAAAGAATAAAGTCCTGCTTCATGGTAGCCGCGCCGGTACATACCGGAGTTTAACATAGATCAAGTCAAAATGTCCACCTGTGCCGTATTATGAACACCTAGTGGGTTCCGTTACCCAGTGGTAGGCTTGATCGCGAGATCGGTATACACGAAGCTAGTGTGTTCGCGAGCCCAGCAGTGCTTTTTGTAAATATCGATTCAACCCAGTGGCACTGTTTTCGCTTACCCACTAGGTTCTTTGATAAATACGACCACTGAACTGTAGATGGGCCCAGCTTCGTCCGCTAATTGCGCATCTGACTGCATTCATAGTCCCTCATATCTATCCCAATCCCAGTGTGGCCAAAATTGGCATGGCGGGGCAAATCCACGCAATTGTTCGGCCCGATTAGAACGGACTGTATGTTATCTGTAGGCATGCGCTCAGGCTGACGCGAGCTGGTTCGGAATATGTTGAATTCCTTTACTTTACCTTTACTTAATTACTTTCGGTCGTAACTCTTCCTTCCAACATAACTTCTAGAACTGGACTGAGGAAAAACTTATTTACACTCAATCTTTGGTGTTCTTTTCTTGCGAATATGGGCATCGGTAGAGGAACGATTCAAGGACTACTGGTCCTCACACGGTTGCCGTAGCATTGCATAGGATCCAGTGGTTCATGAAGCGGCGCTCCACCTGTACCCGCCGCAACCCGTCGACACCGGAACCCGCCTGACCGGGCGGCGGTGCAGGAGGAACCAGAGCCCTTGACCCCTGTATCCAAGATGGAAAGGGGAGGAGCCGGCTGCGTGCCAAGAAGGATCTGGCAACCTTCCAAGCTCCGCCTCTCACGCTGAGCCTGGGTTTTGCCTTTATTGCTCAGGAATTCGTCGAAGGAAAAGTCTAGTTTAAAACACCTGAAATGGAGATACAAGGAAGGAAAAAACATTGTGACCAGTTTCGAAGAACGAATCTTTTGAATGGTCTTTTGTATAAATTCACATCGATGCAATTTTGGCATTCTTTCAAAGATTGGAATTGATGAACAATTTTTAGAGAGGTAAGAGCTTCTGCTCGATTTAAAATTTTTCATGAACTCTCATAAATTGCTTCGCGAAGAACTTACTCTAAATTGTATTTTATTTTCCTGAGATAATTTTCTCAATCTTTCACGATAGTCACTGCGTTAGTTGCATTTGCGCTAATCGATAGCCGATTAGTTGACCTTTGCAGGATCAAGCCAGTCGTCTGATGAGCGAAGAAAGTCATAATTTAAGTGGAAACTTTATTCGTTGTTAACTCCAGTAAATGTTTTAGGGGAAGGGGGAAGGGAAAGTGCGAGAAAAATTTGCCAGAAAAATGTTAGTCGTATTTCAAATAGGCGAACTTGCAAAAGTAGATGTCAAATTATTCATCAAAAGTTTTCGAGTTAGCTGCAAAAAGCAGGCAAAGTCACCAAAACTTTTCTGTTATAACAATTAAATAATTTTCATTGGTTTTCCCCCATTTATATTAGATATTGTCCCACTTATCTAATCCTGCGCTTCGACAACTGCCAGCGGGGTAAAGGTTGCCCAGGTTTGGTTCACACTTCAAATCTGAGCTGCGAAGCTTAATTGAGCCTCCTCTTAGGCATAAGATGTTTGCATTTGCATTTTACGTCCTTTTGGATATGAGTATCCAGGATGTAGTGCTAGTCTAGGTTAAAGTTATTGTTGAAATCACTTTGAAACTTCATTTTCAGCTTATGTTCTCCTGCTTTGAATCAATTTTTGGTAGCCCACCTTCTGAGCTTTGATCATCGTTTCGGTCTTGAACAAAATTCATCAATGATTATATGGTAGCGGTGTTCCATTTGACTATTACAAAGATAACCGTTACTCTATTCATTTATTAAGTTTATAACATTATACTACTTTTATTATCATCCTGGTACCTGAAAACCTGTTTGAGAATCTTTACTGTCCATTTCTCAAACTCCTAATTCATGATTTAACCTCTTAACCCATCAAATTTGATCAAATGTTGTAATCCATCCACCAATCTTGCTTAATATACAATGGAAGCATCCCGTGGGCGGAGAGATGGGCGGAGCCTCCTCTGCTTTCCCCATTCCCTCTTGGATACAGGGGTCAAGGGCTTTGGTTCCTCCTGCACCACCGGCGCCTGACCGCCCCTCCCCCCCCCTTGACCCCTCTGTGTTCGTATTCATCAACGAACCCACTGTGTTATTGCTTTTGATGAATATCGATTCTACCCTGGAGTAGAATCGATATTCATCAAAAGCATTAACCCAATGGGTTCCGGAACCCATTAGGGTCGTTGATGAATACGGTCACTGTACTCGCTTGAAGCCGAGGAATAAAGAATGAATCAAACAATTATGTCTGGAAGTTGGCATCTTTGAGCACAGTGAAATCGCCGCAGGTGTTCGCCTGTAGCCTGAGTGCGGCTTCGGTGTTCGGGAGAGCACCGGCTGGCGCAGGCGCGAGACCGCTCTGAAGCCCCTGATAATGTATCGCATGGGGTCCAAAATCCAACGTCGATGTCAGTGTTATAATTTAGCTACGGATGTTTAGGATATACCTATTGATAATGACGGTCGCACCGCTATCCTATTGGCGCATGCACCATCCCTCGAGCGTCTTCTCGAAATGTGGCGAGAGCGTCTTGATGGTGAGCACTATGATCGCAAAGAAAAGAGGCGCCATAAGGCTGAACGAAGAGAAAACCATCATAAACGAAGGTGGTTCTCAAATCTATGTTGAACGTTACTTTAGCAGTTCAACTGAGTTCATCAGTTTAGATCAGAAAAGCGGCGTCTCAAAGAAAATCAAGAGGTTGAGAACTGCTCGAAACGAAGCAAATTAGAAGACGGCATTGAACCAGAAATATGTGAAGCGGTAGATAAGTAGGTTTCAGTGGTATCTCTGAATTTTTTATCATTCGCTCGCAGATTGGCGCGAGGGCGGAGTTGTGCGAGCGTACCAGCGGTACGGTCGTTTAGTATTGGACGTAGTTGATAGAAATTATAATTATGGCTTGAACATCGCGGCACCCTCGTGCCAGTCTTTGGGGGTTGATCATACCGTTCTGCGTTCATGGCACAACAGTTTCTTGTACTGCGGATTCGCGAGCATTTTGCTAGCCTTCAATCGATGCCCGGGTTCTTATTTTAAACGACGTGATAAATGGTTGGAAGTCGATATATAGCTTTTGTCTGTTTATTTTACGTTCTCTCCACTCGAACCTCAAAAGGAGGATTCATTATAGGTTTCAAGATGCTGAGGAACATACGAGTAGTGCACCGCAGTTCAACCAATACACCACTGCGAAAGTTGTTGAACACCGCACCAACCCTATATGCCAGCAGAAAGCTCAGCTGGAGGTAATTGCATCTTTTCGGACGGACGTGTATGCTAGTGGAATGACAATCATGATGCTAAAATATTGTGGATCAATTTTCACAGAAGACTTTATCGGAGTGGAATCTGACTGACAACCTATGCCCAATGAACAGTTTTGAAGGTTCTCCATGTTTATCAGCATTTTATTCAGATATCATCAAATTCACTTGAAGTAGATGAACGTATGGATTTGGACGAAAATGAAATGTTAGCCATGGAGGAGCAAATTGCAAATATCCAAGACAAACCTGTGCTTAATACCAAGGTAGAATCTCGGCGATTGCATATCTCCTCACCAATTGATTAACATTCCAGATTACGAGCAACGAGCACGAGATTTGTCGGGAATCAGTTCACGCGGCATACAATCTGGAGCGAGAGTTGAATGGTGATCAGATTAACATCATCTTTTTCTGTTTTGACAATTCTTTTCCATAATTGCATTCATAGCAGTCATGCTCATTAGCATAGTGGGCTTCTTTACTTGAGGGTGTCAATTGAAAACGCTGCGAGACGGCAATACAGTAAGCTGTGTGAGAGGCAGCAGCACTACCAGCGATGTTAGACTTCTCCGTATTCTTGGGTGCAGATGGCTTTCTTGCCTGTTGTGACACATCGTGGCACCCTCTTGCACTTGCAAATTCATTTCTTAGAGGCGGTTGGCGAAATTTCTCTCTCCAGGTTTTCACCTTTCAGTAGCCTCCTTGTCATGCTGAATCCATATCTGGGCTCTGCAGCGCATGAAAATGGAAGCCTTTATGTATGCAATTGCTGTGGATTACCTGAAAGTGGGCGGGGTCGGGAACGAGGCGGTGCTGACTTCCGGAGTAGATGTTAGGCTTGCTCTACGCGCTTTTCCGCCCCAGAAGTCACCAGTAGTTAGGTACAGGGTCTGCCCATTGCAACGCTGTACAAATCCAGTACCCGTCACTTCGCCGGGACGCTGCCTTTGAGGTGCCGCCAACTCTTATCCTGATACTCAAAGGCAGTGTCCAAGCAAAAACTTGATTTTGAGGTTTTGTACTTACTTGGGCCTATTTGCTATGCTGAATCCGAAAATCCACCCAGGAAGGCGCGAAACGCCGAAGAACGGCTCTATGGCCCCGGACAGACCTCACGCGACTTAATCGTCGCGCTCTAATCGCCAAGAATTCCATTCATTTTCATTTCACATTCAAAAATTTCAGGCTGGAAAAGTATCACAACCGAATGCAAGTTGATCAGCATGGAATGATGCTGTAACAGTTGTCTCGTCGCGATTCAGTCGCGACGATCAAGTCGCGTGAAGTCTGCCCGGGGCCTATCGCAGTACGGAAGTCAACAACTAGGCGGGGATTTCCCCAAGTGAATTCACGCTACCAGCTTCCGGAGCAATCTTCTCGGTTCTGGTTTTAAGTCATCGTTCGCATTTGGCTGGTGGCGATGTCAGAGCAGCTAGCGGAATCGAGAACGCTTCGGAAGCTGAGGGAGTAAATTTACAGCGAGGAAGACCCGCCCACTTGCTGATTTCCCTCTTGCGTTAGCGACCTTTTTCGTTGTTTTTGCGCTCTCCAGTATGGTTTCCGGATTCAGCATAGCGAATAGGTCCAGGTAAGTACGAAATCTCAAAATCGAGTTGCCCGGACACTGCCTTGCTCAAGCAATGTGTGACTTCGGTGAATGGTTAATCATGATGCGCCGAGAGTGGAAATAATGCGGCAAAGTGGAGCTGTACCCTACCGCATCCAAATTGGCACACATCAGGCCTAAGGTATGGAGGCATCCATAAACTATTGATTAAGAACCTAGCCTTTGTTATATAGAACTTCTGCCTAGTCAGCTGATGTTCTTTCTCGAGGAAAAGAACGCTTCCAAGTGGACTAGCAAAGAAAAATATTTGCAAGTACCGCAACCTGCATCTATCAGTCTACAACAACATTTGCATTCTTGTTATAGACTAACAAATAAAACCGTGAATTGGAACTAAAAGTATTTACTCATGGTTGTTATCCATTTTTGACGGCGTTTGCTAAGTCTCCATTCTTCCTTAAAAAGACATAGTGGAAAGTTGAAAATCATGTGTACCAATTTTTAAATCCTTAACTAGAACGATCTGATAAAGATTCATTTTTACTTATTTGATCCCAAACTATCACTTCAATTCAGGAGAGCCAATGGAATGTAAGAAATTCAAAGAAAGTCTAATACGAGTGGAAACTCCATATGTGGTAAATAAACCTTTTCGAAAATTGTTCTCAGCAATGCAGTAATCTGCAGTTTTACAAGCGAACATAGGTTGAGTTCACTTTTCCATTTTCTCGTGAAACCCTTAGATATCATGGAAAATTCCATCACTAGTTGCGACCACATGGATCCTTTAATTTCTTTTCGCGTACCAGGCGAAGCAGATCTAATGAGCTAGAAGTTAATCTGATCGTCAAATCATTCCAATTCCTCAGTTCAATCCGATTGGACTATCCTTTTCGCCTAAATAACAGTTAACTGGTACCTTTTCAGGTCGAAGAACCTTTACCAGAGCTGATAACGGAGCACCGCCCCACAAAAGCGGAACTGAAGAAGAACTCGGCGTCAAACAAGGTCAAGACTTCCTTATTGCAGCGTATGGCAGAGGGTCATGAAGTAGACGTGAGTCTATGTGACGCCAGTGCTTTTCTTTGTGCATGTTTGAGTTGCTTTCAGGTTGATGCCACCAATGCTGCCGCCAGCGAGAACGACTACAAGAACACGTTTTGTTACTTATGTCGAGTCGATTTCAATACTTCCAAAGCATTATATTTACACAATGTAAAAGTAGGAGATTTTCTTCGCTTTCCATTTACCGTCCACTTGCATTGGATAGCCTGATTGCCGTGTTCTGAACGCCAGCTATGTAGTTGCCTTAGTTATGGAAGTAGAAGCCTGCATCAATTCATCTACATAGCAGAGAGTACCTGAACTTGCCTTCTACAAATGATTTTTTGGAGTTTGAATGCTGTTGGGCAAGGACATGCCTGTTATCTTGTGCAAGCTTCGCTATAATTTGACGGCCTTAGGGAACATTTTGAGTTTTTTTCCTCTCCCTCATTGTTTATTTTGCACGGCCCAGTGTCTCTAGTGAAGCAAAAGGCCTGCTCATGAGCAAATTGAAATCGTCGGTATGTTATTTTGAAAAGTTTCAACGTCATAGTTTGCCAAAATTGCAAAATTGACGGAAGTTCAAAAAGACCTGTAGTTCATTCACATATCCAAATAATGAACTTTCATTTTTTGGGTTGTATGACTAATTAAATATTCGAGATGCTTTTCGTCGATCAATCGAATTTTTGGATATTTTTTGACAATTATTTTGTCATGAATCTTCAGTATGGTCGGTATTGTGCCAAGCAACACTCGCTTCAGCCTTTACTTCATTAAGTTCACATTTCAAAAAATTCATAAAATTTCACCAGTGCACGATAGGGCAGCGCAGTCCCTCCTTTTAGCTAGATGGTTTGGCATATAAATTTGACTCCTACATAATCAACTTAAGTATGTTATTTATAGTCGCATTCGGAGGGAGAGGTGCAGTGTGATATTTGTTACAAGCCTCTTAAGAATCGTATCACACTAATGAAACATAAGAAACTGCATTTGGGGGCTGAAGATATGCAGTGTTTGTGCACAGAATGTGGTCGACCTTTCAAGGTAAGCCCAATAAACGTCAGCCTTCCTTCCAGCAATTCTTGCGAGTTCAGGATAAGCGTGCTCTTACTGCACATGTTACTTATACAAGACATATGCTTGGTGTATCTGCCAATCCCCCTCCTCCTCCTTCTCGCTCATGAAATTGTCTTTTCCATTGCATTCTTTCCATATATCATACAGAGTATTTCTTTGTCGCTTCAGCTTTGTTGAGGATTTTTTACTTGCATGTCGTTCATATGTATGATAAAACAATAAACATGGTTTTTTACCTGTAAACGCAAGTGTTTTTGGAATACATCCATCGTAATATCGCGTTTTACTTCGCAGTTCTCTATTTTCGTAATCAATTCATCGAACAGTTCGCGCACAGTTAGTACTGTTTGTGAGTTAGATTTCCAGCTCGATTTCCTCGGTGAATGATACGACATTTTTATTTCATTTCATTTTATTTCATATATACACCTGAGGTGCACTAAAAAAGAAAAAATCAAGAAGATTCAGACAACGCACGAAACCAGCCGTCTTCACCCTCAAGGTGTTGAAAGAAGTTTGAGGGTGAATTATAAAGCCTGGAGCTCCAGACCTACTAGCAAAGTAGTAGGAACATGCATTTTGTCCAATGAAACTATCTCAAGAATCGCAATTTGTTTGAAGAATAGCAGTTTCTGAATTGAAGTGTTAGGAATAAAACCTACCCACTGTCTTAGAATGAATCTTAACCAAGCGGAAAAATCAGGGGACTATAGATGAGACTTAGGCCTCGGACAGAGTTCACGCGATTTGATCGTCGCGATTCAGTCGCTACAAGACAAGTGTCACGAGTTCACTGCGTGCCAATCAGGTTGCATTTTGGTTGTGATACTTTTCCAGCTCGATATTTTTGGATATAAAATGAAAATGAATGAAAATCGCGGCGATCAAATCGAGTGCACTCTGTCCGAGGCCTTAGGCCCCGGACAGACTTCACGCGATTTGATCGTCGCGATTAGTCGCCGAGATTTCCATTCATTTTCATTTCACATTCAAAAATTTCGGGCTGGAAAAGTATCACAGCCGAAATGCAAGTTGATCGGCATGGAATGATGTTGTAACAGTTGTCTCGTCGCGATTTAGTCGCGACGATCAAATCGCGTGAAGTCTGTCCGAGGCCTTAGACGGTGAGGTAATAAAAAAAAGTGGGCTATGGTTCCGTGATGAATGAGAAGACATGAGGATCATCTAGACATTGTCTTTCGATCAAGCATGAAAAAATGCAATCCTGCCTGTGGTTTTTTCTTCTCTAACCATAAGCTAAGCCTACAAGAACAGTGTCCCCATCACTGAACAACACGACTTGTGAAGTCGGTGGTCTTGTCCTCGTCATTTATGGGCTGCTCTCTTTAAGTGCAAACTTCCTAACTTATGATTGCCTTGAATAGCTCTTTTTTGGTGAACGAGATGCTGTTAACTGTGGAAACATCCTGCTTACACTAGATGGCTTTTAGCAGTTGCAAAGTTGCTCTCATGAGTGACTCTATTGCCACCGCTAATGCAGGCTCCTCTTTCCTAACATGGTTGAATAGCACCGTAAAAAATAGTTTGAGATTTGGAAAGATGTACAACAAGAAGTTGAGCATGAGCCCGTGCTCGGTGGAGTCGAAACTGAGTTTTTTAAAACCTAACACTCGTGAACTTCATTTATACTTCAGCATGGTGGAATTTATTGCTAGTATAAGAATGACTGTTGAGGATGAAACTTTACGTCCTGTCAGCGCTCCAATCACAACAATCGCTTCGCTGCCGCAGCGCGGCTGCTTCAAGGGGCTCCTGCTGCTCTCGACAGTTGTTCTCTACCCTTTTCCCTCGGAAATCGTACATTTTACTGATCATTTCGTGCATTACTTCAGAAATAAATAACTGTTCTAGCATCTGAACTACCATTCACGTCTCCACTTCTGGAATAGTCGTATATTAAGCAGCTATCAAGCAGTTACCACTCCCAATATGACAGCGGTTGGTCATCATCTCATTCTTTCTCGGCATCTTATTCATAGGTATTTCAGGACGAAGATCTGCTGGTTTTTGGATATGCGTCACGGATATATCCGCAGGATGATCGCGCGGAGTACATCGCTGAGGAACGCCACTTGATCGAGTCACCGTACGATCCTGCAATAAGACTCGATAGGTGTGTAGAAAAGCAGCGAGAGTGCTAGTCTGATGTAACGGACACGAAAATCCCCCCTAGGACGCTTTTTAGGCTTTTAGGGTTACAGGAGCCTCTTCTTCTAGCTGGATTGGATTTGTATAACAGGTATGTACTTGATTACTGCTTAGTTCTGCTCCCGTTTCAGTCCCACTAGCGCAGTCCAGTAAATCAATATTCATATCAAACACAAGCTTCAAGCAGTATCTTGGCACTATAAGCTAACGAGTGGTCAGTCGAAGTGGCCAATCCTAACAAGTTGCATACCATTAGATGCAGCATAGAACGCTCTTGACTTCGAATCTTTATTCCATAAGTGCTTAGCGCCTATGTGGGCGAACTTATGAGCCACTAAAGGCCGTTATTTTGCTACGAAATTGTGCAAAGCGCAAATTTGGCGGTGTTTGGGCTTGATATTGGACCAAAGCATGCAGCTAGGTTACTTTATATTCTTCAAGCCTGAAGGTGAGCTGAAAGGCAACAATGTGCTCATTTTCCCAATTTTTAAGTACGACTAGTGAACCAGTAGTCAAAGGTGCTGTTTGGAAGAGCGTTCGCTTCCGAACCCGCCGCGGTTTCCGATTTTTTCCCGTGGTTTCCCGCTGTTGGAAGATTTTTGAATTGAGCTAACGATTCTTTATATAATAGGTTTTTTCGCAATAAAACTGCTCATAACTTCGTTCACAAAGGCGCTAAGCAGATAGAAATACAGATTCAGAATCAGCGTTAAATGCTGCATCAAACGGTCGTTTCTGACCATTTCCTTGTAAGCGAATTCTGAGCTGTTCAAATTTTTCTAGTCTTACGTTAACGAGAAAGATTTGAACAAAGCTCAGAATTCCCTTACAAAGAAATGGTCAAAACGAAGTGGCTAAGCCAATCGAGAAAATCGCCTCGAATTAACTTGTCTGTCGACTTCGGTCCACTTGCTATCATTTATTATGACGAAGAGAAATCGAGCATAATTAGAAGTGTAATTTGCTTCTATCCAATGATTTTTGCAAAAAGTCGCCAGTGAAGGTTTTGCTTAGCTGATAGGATGTTGTGATCTCCTTAACGGTACTTTGGTCGATTTTCTGAAGGCGGGTTGAAAAGGAGAGCGAGTGAATCTATATGGATATAAAAATCTATCTCGCTGGTCATGTCCGCATCTGGGCAGTAATTTCATGGATGCTTGCTGCCCAATCATAGCATTCAATTAATTAGTGCCGAGATAATGCTTTCGAGTAACTCAGATCATGAGCGTCTGCTCGTAAATGTTGAACTCATAGGCTTATAGTTAAGTTGGCAGGATGGCAACAAGTGACAGGATGGTTGACAAAGACCGCATTGCTAGCAGTAGGTAAATTCCTCCAACCGCGTTGTCGGTTTGCTCTATTTTCAGATTTTTGGCTTTTATCGCCTTTTCACTTCATCTCTTCAGCGAACCGTTACATACAGCTCGCATTAGTTTGTTTCAAAACTTCAGTAGGGTATACTGCACCCTAATCTTGCCGTTATAGGTCTGGAGAATGGTGCCGCCAACGAACGGTATGGTAAAAAGGTGATGATGTCCTACCGTAAGTTTGATCGACAAGTCAAGCGGGGTGTTCACACATTATTCTTTTCGAGTTAACTGACGTTTATGGCAATTTAAAAGCTGTTCTGTGCTCATCTGACTTAATCCCTCTTCAGGTACGATTGTCGTTTGCTGCTGCCTGTCGGGTGTGATGTCTTTGCATCGTCTTGCGCAGAGGAGTCGGAGTCTTGTCCCACTGAAGATATGGAAGAAGAGATGTGCGACGAGGAGCGCTATCGTGACTTGAATAGCTCAGTGGAGCAAAAAAGTAGGTTGTTGTCTATGTCGTTTACTAGACTTCACTTCCATGTTCAGTAAAAGAGGAAGAAGAGGCCCGGCCGAAGAAAGCTGAAATTGCGTTTGATTATGGGACAAGTGGTGCCAGCGGTAATGGTGATGCGGGAGCAGCTGCCGAAGATAGTGATAGTGAAACGGAGCCCTTCGAACCTCCTGCCGGCATAAAATTACCTATGGGATTGGCATTGGTATGTTTTGGTAATTGAAATTGCCCAAGATATTGAGCTGTTTGAAAATGGTTTTTGGTCAAATTTTCGCAGCAGTATTCGGAGAACTTTGAGCAGCCCTCTTGAGATCAGATTTTTTTTTCGCAAAGATTGAGTGCTACGCTTGTAACTCATACAGATAATCAGACTTTTTTCATTGACAAAGTGCGCGGCAGTGTGTAGGTCGCCGAAAGTGTCCTTCCCATTCTTATCTTCCAAGTTTTTTTTTTTGATATCGGGGAAGAGAGGGAAAGAGTATTGATACGCGCAGTTTTGGTCAATCTCATCCTGAAACTGTCATTTTCAATTGTATTGAAAACAGCTTGCTAATTTTTGGGCACTGCAGGCATAATGGTTTTCTCACACTAAACACCATCATCACGGGTATATTCGTTTCAAGTGCACTGAGACATGAAGGCGCTTGTTGTTATATATGGTACTGCTGTGAAAAAACGAGCTTAATAGCGCCTATGAGTCTGCCTTCTTCTAGCTCTCAAACTGACCAAATTTGTTCCGCCTGAGGAGAGCTTTTTCAGCCGGAAAATCAAAAACAGAACCACATAATCGAGCGTACCGCATTATTTGTTGTTACAAAAGGGCCACAGATGGAAATAGTGATCAAAGCCAAGCAGAGGAATAATACCGAGCAGGTTCGTTTGTTGCATTCTTGGAGAGCCGCAAAGCTGTAACATATACATCTTTCCAGTTCGGATTTCTGGAGTTTGATAATGTTCTCCATCCGTACTATAAGTATCTGTCAAAGCTTATCCGGGAAAAGAAGTATACACCGAATTTTTCCAAACGAACGAAAGACAGTAAGGATCAGACGTCGGAACCATCCACTTCTGAAACAAACGGCGCCAAAAAATCTAATGCGCTCACCGCGCTTGCTGAAGGTGCGTTGTGTTTTCGTTCAGCCTGTGCAAATGTAATCAGCCGATGTTCCAGAAAGCAACAGCGACTCTGATTCTGATTATGAACTTCACCCTTCTCTTTTGTCGAGTTATCGAAAACGCAGCCGAAGTCCCGATGTCATGGATACTGCTGACAATGCAGCCGGACCAAGACGGCGGCCTGCGTCACCATCACCTCCACCGTTGACTGTCCATCGTTCCGACTATGATATGAGCAAGGTACGTAGGATGGGTAATCGCGTGATATCTAGCTTATCTTTCCATTTATTTTCAACACCTTCAGTACTTGTTTAGAGTAACGACATCTATGCCTCTTTGTACAAGAGCCTCAAAATGGTGTCCACCGAAAAAGAGGTAGCTGAAAAGCGGAAGCAAGAACAGCAAGAGATCGAGGAGCAGATTGCAGCGTAATTTTTTTGTGATGTCCAATTTGCAGTATTTATTCAAAGGAGATGTTGTTAGATCTGCTCCACCCCCTCCTGACGAGGAATATCGTGCTTGGTGGTTGTCATTCTATGGGACACCTTGTCCATATTCTTGTCCACAGCCAATGGTTCCTCCACCACCAGATCTTCAACCTGTTATTGCTAGCTACGCTGAGTTCGTGGCTCGCCATGGTGCTGACGCCGAGTTAGAGCTAAGAGGTTGGTTTGATGTCTTTAGATTCTGAGTCAGTGTTTCCCCTGAGCGTACATACCTAGTGTTTTTTCACAGTTTCCTATCACTCTCTGATTTCAGATCGCGTCGATCTACAGCTTCATTTTATGCATCCTAACAGTCATCACTTTTCATACTATCAGCACCTTGTCCGTATGTGTCAATGGGAGCTTCATCAGAAGATGATGGAGGAATCTTCAGCATATGAACAGGTGAATTTGTTCGTTCTCCGCAAAATGATCGTTAGCCTTCCATCCGTCCGTGTGTCTTCTGCTTTAGATCGGAAAGTAATATTGTAGGGTCTTTGACACGTTTTGTGGTAATAATGTTGATATGGTGTTGCTAGCTTACTAACTCGCATTTTCAAGTTTTGGCACTGATGGTTCTTTTTTCAGGCTGCAGGTGACGTCGATCCTGATGGCGAGAACGCAGATGGAGCTGATGCTCCTACTGTCCCACCAAATGCACTAAGTAAGTTATTGTTTTGCATTTGATCTGTATCTTACTATTGTCTTCAGTTCTTATTGTTGTCGTAGCATCACTTGTATCATCGGCTCCACGATTCGTGTAGAGGCGGGGTTTTGCCAACTCAAAGCGTGGCGGTTTTTGATAGCGAGAGAGTACAAAAAACAATGTATGACGTGGAGGTTTAAGTTTACCTGTGTTATCAGGCAAAGTCTGCAATACACCTCTACACGAATCGTGGAGACGATCATACTTCTTAAAGGCACCGTCCACCCAAAACGGGATCGATGAGATTTTGAGGCTAGTAGTAGGGGAGCTCCTAGCTGTATATTATTTGCCCAACTCGCGCTGCTAAAAGTTGCTTCCGAAGCAAGAATATTGCTTCGTAAATCGCTCAGATGACGGACTCCCCACGTTGACTCCTCCCCCTTTAAGTGGGCGTGACGTTCGTCCCGTCCATCCGTGCGCACCCAACCAATCACAGTTCCGGAGAACTCGCCATGCAAGTTCTGGAAACTGGGATTTTTGGGGTTTTTGCGGATTCTCGACTTAATATTCGGAATCAGAAATATGAGAAACGGCAAAAACGTGGGAGTCGAGAATTTGGGTGGACGGTGCTTTTAACATCTTCTGCTGACAAATATATTCATTGCTGCTCCTAAGAGATCTCTGAACATTTCAGGCATCGCCGAAGCTACAGCGCAGGCGCTGAACAGAAGACAAAGAAGAAGATTGCAAGATGCATTACGTGTACCTGTGGCACAGCCAGTAGGTATTGTAGATCCAGTCGCTTCGTTAGGAGATGGAAGTGTGAGTCATCTTTTTTGTGCGTTAGTTCTAAGCCCAGAAAAATCTTCGGTCAACTCAAAGGCAAGCTTGCTAAAACCGAACATCACGAAATTTTGAAATGGAGGGACGCACAGACACATCACATTTTGACATGCTTGCACCAAACATGAGAACAGAGCAGGTCCGAGCGCACAGCATGCTGCCCTTGCTTAGAGAACTATTCCTAAACTCATTAGCAAGCCATTCTAATATGCAGACGAGCTTGCGATTTTCCCTGACCCGTCAGAGAAGGCATGCAGCAATGTTATAACCGCGAGGGTTCAGCAACGATTCTGCCTCTCTAACCATGGTGGGGCGTGCCCCACTCGTCCAAATTCAAAATGGGAGGCCTTGGGTCAGCGCCTCGAATTACCCCAGGTAAGCAAAAAACTTCAAGTCGAGAATCTGCCGAGCCGTGCCTTTAGCCCTCTCCCGCGCAGATTCGATTTAATATGTGGCTATGAATCAATTGACATCTTAATTGTATTGAGTTTTCTTGGTAATTGAATAGGCTTTTGCATTTCAGTTACCGAAAGTGAGCTCTTCGCCAGCGCTACTATCGTCGGTTTCCCACCCATCTCTTCAAGTTGAGGGAGTTGATGCAAGTGTGACAAACAACGATACCTTCACCGCACCGAAATCTTTCCCTGTTTCGTTCTCGCTTGCGCCAGTGGTTTCAAGCAAGGATGAGATCCCAGGAGCTGCACCCAGGTAAGCTCCTTTGGAAGTTGACCTACTCCTTATCCATCTTAACGTGTTTCAGTATGGCAGTAATGGAAGGCCCCGGCAGTCCAGCTTTAGTTGATCCACGCACTCTTTCACCTCTCTCCGTTCCCTCTATGCAGCCGACAACCTCAAATGTTGGACTTGTATGCTTATTTCTTCTTTCGCACAATTTTTTACCAATTCAAGTGATTATTTTAGATTCTGCCTCCACCCGTCCCTCCAAACATTCCCAGTAATACACAGCTGGATAGGAAGGAAAAGGTAGCATCTGTTGTATGTCCCTTGGTACATCATTCATCGTGCTTTGCAGGCGCGCATTTTCATGGAACGTTTGTTGAATGAAAAACGTGTGAAAAAGCTGAAGGAGCAAGAGGAAGCGCGAATCAGAGAATTGGAGGCTCAGAAGGCTGAGATTGAACGGGTATGACACGAATGTCTTTTGATTCATTTTGGTAATTTGTTATGTTTTTCAGCAACTAGCTGAAGAAGAAACGAAACGAAAGAAGACTTCGCTCGAGATGGTAGATAAACTTATTAATCGGTGAGTTAGAAGTTACGGTTTGGTGGCTTGAATGTATTTTCGTTGTCACATACATTGAGCTAGGTCCCACACATGAATAGATCTTGAGTTGTGTCTGTAGTTGTGCGCTTTACCAACTTGTTGTGCTTGAGGGAAAGATGTATTGATTTTAGTCGAATTGGAGCTCTTCTTGGAACTGCAACAGAAACAAAGAAAGTAGAAGAAAAGCAGAAGCTGAAAATACCAGCCAGATTGAGTGATGACGAAGCGCAAGCAGACCGTGACGATATGAGAAAGAAAAGGAAGAAGGAGAAGTCAAAAAAGCACAAACATAAGAAGTCACGAAGGTATGTAGGGAATGTTACAAATTGTATTCGACTTTCATCTTTTAGCCGTTCACGTGATCGTAGTCGGGATAGAGAAAGAGAACGACGAAGACGGCGGCGGTCCAGCGATTCAAGTAGTGATGAAAGGTTGAGCGATAATGACGTTGACGTTGTTCTTGTATTCTCATAGTCTTTTGTTTTAGGGATTCATCAAAGAAACGTCGAAAGGAGAGAAGGTGATAAATAGCTTCTAGATCTGGTTGTTTCTTTCGGGGTTGAACATGTTGACAGGTCTTTCTTCTATGAAATTGTTTTTGTTTGTGATGTTTTTCGATTGTAAAATCTCAGTAAATGTTATTTTATCTTCCTTGAAATCAATAAGAATATGTCTTCATGCGTGATAAACTTGTATCCGTCTGCTTCTTTTGTAGCCATGCCATTTTCCTGTAAAGAATAAGTTTCTTGACGTATCAAATTACGAATCGTTCACCTTCAGTGCTTCTTCAACGTGGCTGCGCTTTAACCTGTGACATTTGAAGCATTTGCCTCCAAAATTATATGTGGTGGAATCCATCACGCCTCCTTGCATCTGCTCAATGAAATTATTGGGAAACGCAAATTTTTACCCAAATTGCTTGTTACCAAGTATCCTCCGTCCTCGATAAGGCCGCAGGCACCTTGTACAGCTTCCTTGTAGCCTTCCAGCGTTTCACACGAATATTCCAAACAAAAGACGGTCGAAACCAGCTGAGAAATGATGTTCAATGGGGAAGTATTTCTTTGGGACATCTATAGGCTCTAATACCCTCATAATTCTTTCGTAAAAATACATCACCGTTTCTTTCCACTATGAGAACATGTGAGCGTTGAATAAACTCAATACAACGAGCAATCCGAGTTTTTTCTCTACTTATTTGTTGTCTTGTGATGAATCCACTTTCCTATGCATGAATGTTCAATCAAATCTTTTGCTTACTTGAAATTTCTCTGGGACCGTGGTACCCTTCCTTTGCCAATGTACTCCCTGAACTACTGGCATTTTGTGCACGTTCACCTGAAATTTTTTCATAAACATTCCTTCACATGCTTGCAGCATTTTGTAAGTGCTCACTTCCAGTACAGCATTCATCTTCTCTCGCGCTTTTTGCTGCATCACAGCAGGCTCGTCATCGCTTGCCTCGATATTCGAAATCCAGTGGCATACGTTTGTCCAGTCGAAAGCAGATCTGCAAATGCTAGTCATCGGTGTGTTTCTAGTTTTTTGATCGTTACTACGGGCTAATGTCGGCTCATAGAGCTTCAGTGTTTGCTATCCTTCTGCTACTTTCAATCTCGCTTTTTTGTACGGAACTGAGACTTTGCAGCCTCTGCTGTAGAGACAAATTTTTTCCTGTGAAAATTATGTGATTTTAGAACTATGATCTTCTTTGATTTCTTAGTATTCGTCTGCTCATTATTTTAGCTTGAGGTAGGCGCTTCTGAAGTTTTTGGAATGTTATCCAGTATCACTGTCTTTGTATCTTGTGATGATTACATACTGAGGTAAGGCGACTGTATTAGTCGCGGATTCTTGAGACAAGGCAGCATGTTCCATTAAAATCTGAGCTCCACTGATGATAGTATCTCCTAGACAGGAAAAAGACTACAGTTTGTTTGTGTCGGATTGTTCCCATACAATGTCCATCCGCCTCGCGTGGTGTTTGAGGGCGCTTAACTGGTGTGGTTAAAACGGCTCTTATCCTTTGATTCAACTGGATTGGCGGCTGGAAGGCGGGGCTTCTGATCTAGTTGAGGCTAGGGAATGGTCAGAGATCACTCGCGTGAGAGAGACGCAGATTGCGTCACGGCCTTGATTAGTCGCAAAGCTCCGCCTTCCAGCCGCCAATCCACTTGAATCAAAGGTTACATCAGAGGTCAGCACGCAAGTTACTGCACCGCGGATGTAGCCACATACAAAAGGGGCACTGCAGTTGAGATAAAAATAAAAATAAAATTCTCTACTGTAGTACTCGTTTGCTGGCTAACGCGGGGCGTAGGTACCATTTCTGTGGATATAACTCATTATAAACATTTGTAATATCCAGCATTTTCTTGCAAGCTAAGTCGTTACATCTTTGGTTGAATGAAGTCTGGGCTTGAAGCATATGATGTTTTTGTTGCTATGTGTTCAATGTAAAAAAACAACTTTCATTGTTTGTATTTTTCTATGTGTTCAATGTAAAAAAAAACAACTTTCATTGTTTGTATTTTTTTCCTGTGAAACGCTTCGAGCGTTTTCAATGAAAAGGAAATGAAATTATAGCAGCGATAGTTGACCGGTAGATCAAAAAAATTTTTCTTTGCTCAATGCGTGTAAATTACTACCTACTAGCTGGCAAACCCGGCTCCGCCTGGCCCTGTCATTATTATATTCGTAATCAGCATGCTCGATTACCCCCCTGTGCCAACTCCCAGCCCCGTAGCTCAAATTTTGCAAAAAATCGATAAAATCGATATCGATCGATAACGAAAAGTAGCCTATGACACGCTCCCTGCCCCGAAGTATATGTGTGCCAAGTTTGGTCTTGATCGGTTCAAAAATAAAAATTTCTATTCCGCACATACGTACAGACAGACAGACATACATACAGACAGACATTCAGCTTTATATATAAGATATGCATTTACATCACACCACATTCCTTGAAGTTAGTGTCCGGGCAAGAAGTCGATTCAAAGGTTTTGCGCTTACCAGGGCCTATTCGCATGCAGTACACCACACTAGAGAGCGTTAAAACGGCGAGAGAAGGCTTTAACACAGGAGGGAATCAGCAGATGGGCGCGCTCCAATTCCTGAAATCACTTTCTCAATGGAGCCTTCTTGCCTCTAACCATTGTAACATCGCCACTGGCCAAGTATGCGCTAAACTTGAAATTGGAACCGGTAAGAACGCTCTTGAAGTTGGGAGAGTGGGTTCACGGAGTGGAGGGCCATGCTCACCTGCCAGTTTCCTTCTTGCGTTAGAGCCCATTAGCCTTTTTTGCGTTCTTCAAAATGATTTTGGGATTCACCATAGCCAGTAGGCCCAGGTGAGCGTAAAACCTCAAAATCGAATTTTTGCCACTGCCTTCAAGGCTGCGTCTAATGTTTTCCGTGCTAGCCTTCTGGCACCATGCAAAGCCTTTTGATTTCGGTAAACCCCGCCATAAGTCGAGTTTGATTATTCTGAAAACACGTTGAATGGTCAACGAGACAGTTCGTAAAACCATCAAGGACTCAAGGGGGGAGGGGGTGGGGGTACAAGTTATTGAAACTGAGCCAGTGAACATGGGAATTTAAAATGCCGTTCATCATCGAAATGTGCCGCTAGGTGAAGAAGGGAATTTGCTGTTCACTGAAATATGCACTTCTAGCGTCATGGGAATCTTGGCACAGCAGTTACCGTAACCACGGAAAGCATATAGGCCATATCCTCCTAAATGACGATGCACAGCCTTCTTCCTCCTTTCTGCTATGAATTGGAAGGGAGGATGATACAAGTGCTGAGCTGTAACGGCATCTTTTTTATGGCTAGCGTTCTCTTGTTTCACGACTGCTGTTGAAGAGGCATTAGAATTATCCTACGCGCCGATGACTCAACTAACACTGGTTTCGTTGACTTTCTGTCGTAGTACACTTTCATTAAAAACTTCTATTCTCCCCTCCTTTTCGTCTCTTTTGTAAAATCTTTCTCCCTAGTGGTGTTGCTCACTAATTTTTGTTTGCTTATGCTTCTTTTTCATCATGCATCAATTCCACTTACTCGTTTTCTATCCACTTCTTCAAAAATTCCCTATTAGCTGGAGCATAATCTGATGTGTACATTTCCTGAGCTTGGTTCCGTAAAGCTATTGGGAGGTAGACAGTAGGTCCTGGAAATGCTTGGCATAACTGCAAACAATACGGAAGTAATTAATAATCGCATACCTGCTCCAAGGTCCAGAACCGTCCTTATTTGGCGAGGTAGTCTGTACAAGATGCCTGGTAGGAAGAATAATACTATTTGCATTGCAGTATCCTCAGAAGGTTCTTTGTAGAAAGACTCGAGATATGCACGTGGATCAAACTGAATTATTTGTTGATTTTCCCTAGAATTTGACTGAAAACAATGAGAGCAGCAAATTTATGGTCCGAACAATGAGCTGTATGATTGATCCTGTTTTACAAGCGCCATAATTCTTTTTTTTTCCAACACTGCTAGTAGAAACTAGTCGCTCGCTGAGCTACTTATCCCTACAATTTTCGGGTCAGGCTTGAGCGATCAAAATCAAAAAATTTTATTTGCATTGCCGCAACGCTAGTAGAAAGCGCAAGGCCTTTCACGCAAGGTCTTTCTTACTAAAATTCTAAGTGTCTAACGGATTTACTGGACTAGCAGAGCAATGATTTCATAAGATTATGCAAGGCTTAGGCTACGTTCATACTGATCTGGAAGTCCGAGAACAGTTTCAGCAAAGCGCCTAAAATGAGCGCTGGGCTGGAACTGATCCCGAACTTCGGCATCAGTATGAACGCAGTTTTAGATATGTTGCGAACTAACATTGGTGTTAAATGCTGAGAAGCCAATTCTTCTTTCCATGTTCTCCCAGCCTCTCATCGAATGCAAAAAACAAACCTCAGCCAGATATGCTCAATCTATTAACTTGATAGCTTCTTGGTGGCACATAGCAGTGGCAGACTGACACTGCTATGTGCCCGACTTGTGAGACTAGCAAAGAGAGCGAGGCGTGAGATGCCCGTACAAGAAAGGGTCGCAAAATTAAACTGAGTATTACAGGGTTCAAGCAATCTGTTCTCACTCGTAAATATTCCGAATGCTTTTACTTCCAAAAATCCAGATTGGCTTGTTGAAAATTTTTTGACAGTGCCGATAATCTGGAAATCATCCTAATTTTTGAGGGCGCTGCTACTAGTCACACTCACTCATTCAAGAAAAATTCTGTCCTCGCTTCTCTTTTATTTGAAAAGTAGAGAGGAAGCTCCATAGCAGCTGTATTTTTCTCACGAGCATTCATGTATATATTTTCGACAAGGTCTTGCTTCTTATAATTCTTCTTAGTCTTCTGCTCAAAAGTGTTCACTGAAGGATAAGCATCTCATTACACTAAGTTGCAAACTATGAACTTCTCCCCCTATAAGGGAAACAAGTGTTATTTTCCTTTCGCACTAGGAAGTCGCTCAAAGGATGACTCTCGACTCCCGAGCCGCCAGCATTGTCATCATTGCATCACTTCTGACTCACTGTGCCCGCCAACTTCATGTATGAGACTGAAAGCCTCATTGTATGGCTCCAAGGGTTAGTTTAACCTTTGTCTATGCTTGTAGGTCTACTGTCTTTTCAACTAACATTTCCGTTCCATTTTGCTGTGTAAAAAAATTCGCAGCTTATACTGCATTCTTTTTTACCCATATTATTCACTTCCAGGCACGTACAGGCTGTTTCAAAAATGTGAGGAGCGTTTGATCGTTGATATCTCTCCTTTCATAAAGTCTTTCGAAAAGCTTTAGGTACCATTGTGTAGAGCTGCCTTCAACTTAAATTTATAGCATAGTACGAATTAACGATCGCTCTTCATTACTGTAGGCTTACTTTAGGAACTCTGAAAAGTGTTTTGAGCCTTGGAAGGTCATATTTCGTCTCAGAAAGGATACAAAGCGACCTAGTTGTTCAAACTAGGCTAATCGGAGGTGCTGATTCCAATTATGCTTTGCATTTTATCATAATGCTTCATCAAAAACTTATAAGGTAAACACAATAACAGTCGTTTTCACGATGTCCCTAAAAAGCCTTATACGCCGTCTAGGAAGCTTCACAATCTTGTATCAAGTTGAGGATTGAACCAGCGTCTTTGAAAACCCTCTTACACAAGGTTCTAGCTTTTTCTTTCGAAATCATTCAAAACAGCAACTTTTTCACAACGACGCTATATGCAAGAAATTCCCACCATAATCCTACAATAATGAAGTGCTCGAAGTTGAAGTCAGCTCTACACAGTGATACCTGAAGCTTTTGCAAAAGACGATGGTGAGAGAGTTATTAACGATCAAACGTTCTTCATATTTTTTAGGATACCCTGTAGATTCACATGAAATCCTCTCCCTTCTTTCCTATCTCGTATACCTTTTGTACAACTCATTGTCGTCAGTTTATAAAAAGCGTAAACCTGCTTGAACGGCTAGGCGAATTCTCAGTTAAAAATCTGTATGTCAAAGAGTTTCTAGCTCAGGCCGCAAACTAACCGCGATTGGGACAGAACAGAAAAAGATGTTTCGCAAGTTTTTGAAATGGCACTTTGTCCTTGCCGTTCTGCGTAAATGACTTCACTCCTTGGGCACAAAAGGGCCTATCTGGGAGGAATGTTTTGTGCCTCTTGGTGAGGTTTTTCTAGTACGGCCACACTATGCAATTTTCAAAGAATCACTTGCATTTTTCGATTCACATCCCCTCGTATATGCTATCATGGGTTCTAAAGCGCCTTATCCGGACCCTATAATTACAAAACCACTTTTTCTAAACAAGAATCTCTGGGGCGAGCTTGCCTACTCATTTTGTTGTGCAGAACTTCGTGGAAATACGATAGGCTTCGTCACTAATTTTTCAGGGAAGGAATCCAACTATCAAAAGATGGTCATATTATTACCACTCCTGATATTTGTACTAATGCTATATGCTTGATGATCCTAAACACTGAAATATCGTGGCGGGGACTTTCTTGCAGGATTACGGTGCGTTCTCGTGTCTGATGTAATTACGTAAAAACTGTTCTCCAACGCGGTCATATGAATACCTTCATGAGCATTCACTTCCTCTAGAAAATTCTTGTGAACGCAATCTAAGTTCCACCTGCCATACTCCCACCGTAACCATACATTAAGGCTCTTTTGTGGAACACTTCCATTCCTGTAATTGGATATTAGTTTTGCCAATATTACAGAAATTTGAAAGATTATCTCTCCCGGATTTCCTAGCGCTCACTATTCTCCGCTCTAAGCATCACGACTCTAGTCTATAGCGTCTTTAGCTTCGTATATAAGGAATTCGCCAAAATCGTATATCAAATTTTTTCATTCCCATATCATACTCTATAATAAAGCGCGAGCACCCCCATTAGGGCAACGGATGTTTGTAGAGATCTCTGTCTTAAGTTTTGCACTCTCGCCCGCTTCCAGACTGTTTATGGTTACGGTCCGACCCAGCGCCGCCTATGCACAACGTATGACTCATAATGGTGGTGATGCGTGGCTTAGATGATGTTGATCAAGTAACATAACCAAAAATGCAACCAGTAGACACTAAACGCTGTGAGCAGTAACATCGATTACTCTCATCTCTGCTTTACATCAGATCGCCTCTACAAAATTACGACTTCTAGAATCAGAGTGGGTAGTTTGCAATAAAATGCACGTGTACATGTAGCGTTCTTAGAAATCTACTCAGTCCAAATATGGATCCTCATATGCAGAAGGTACACAAGCGTTGTTTCCTCAAATCTGATACCTTTTGTGCCATTTAAGTTCAAAAAATACATGACAATTGTTTTAGCAAAAGAGCTGCGATTTTCAGGTTTCTTTTAGCAGACAATGTGTTTTTCCATTTAGAGAAGCACCGTATGTTTGTTCAATTCTACAGTGCTTATTGTTTTTCTGATTGATGATAGAGAAGTTGCACTAAATCCGTATTTCGGAAATTTAGCCTCTTCCTCTGATATTTTGTGTGTGACTTGCTACAATTCTTGCGTAAGTGGTTCATTGCCAATTTTTTTTGAAAGTTCTCAAAATTTTTGACTTCTTGAGCATGGTCTCCACCCATGATTTTTTCCTAAGCACTTCTTTTGAAACGCACCATAAGTCTAAGAAAATCTATTAGATTTTCTAGCAGAAAAGGTTGTTGTCTTTGCCAGCTTATCACCAATGTTCAGAAGTTTTTGGTCCTATAGAAGCTGCGCCAAACCGTTTTTAGGAAAAAAAATCTCATTCAGCAAATGCGTAAATGTTTTCTACTGAACATACCGCACCAAATTTGCTTTCGGAAGCTTCTAGCTAATATTTTCCTTTCGAGCACGATTTTGTTGGAAATTCAGCAAGAAAGTTGCAGTTTAAAATTTCGTTTGTGTAATACTAACAATAAGTATTTTTTATAGAAAAAAAGCCACAACGAATCCCTGTCCGTTTCTGGAAAATTCATCCTCTTACTGTATAATAAAAAGCACGGTTCCATCTGTCGACATTTCAGCATTGTCTGAACTTTTCACATAGTTGAAGACAAAATATAAGAAACAATATCCTTCAAAAGAGTAACAGTGTGGTGACGCAAATCGCTTTGGAATTTTTTCAAACTTAAGCGCAAAAGTTCTTCTAGCTAAGAAAGCGTACGTACTAAAAGAGCTCTAACTTTGAATTTTCGGATATTTCTCCAAACTCGAAAAGTTCAAGGGTATGTTAAAGTAAGTCACTGTGATCGTAATGGAAGTTTTTAGAAAGGCTCTATGCTGTTTGAATCTGCCGCTGATATTTCAGCTATGAATAGACACAAAATAAAATGCAAGTTGGCATCACTAACCATCAACTAAATCTATAGAAATAAGAAGTGTAAAGTATTTAAATTTAGCGCAGTTTCAAAATCATACGAGCAACTAGGAATTGCTCCAGCTGACAAAATAAAAACCTCTTCACAGTAGGTCCTTCACAAAATTTATATTGGGAGCCTGCTAAGATAAGCCTGAATAAATTATTTTGGAGCACTTTGAATGAATTTGCAAGGGAGTTGGGCAAGTTGTGAAACCGAAGGGGCATTTCGACAGTAGAATGTTTTGGAGATGAAGTGGAGTTGGCGCTATCACCAAATTTTGAAAGAGAAGGAAGGAGTATCTTGATTTATAGAATTTTGGACTAAGGTACAAATTTTGGCTAGATTATCAAAAAATGTTGAGTTGAATATTCTCTGATTCAATTTTGCGATGAGTAAGAGCAAGTCCAGAGTTTAAAATACTAACGCACTTTGGAGGCACATTCAGGCTGGAAATTTTTTTTACGAGTGTGAGAAAGCCACTGCGGTCTAAGGATCCCGGCAAGATGTAGGAGGAAAAAGAAATTTCCGCGCGTGTATTACTCGATCACTATCAGGCCAAAACTTGGTCAAAACCGCGCGACAACGCAAAGGGTTTGCGCTGCATTTGCGCCCTATAGCAGTCCGGCAGATAAAAGAAATTGAGGGAACAGACAGGTCTTGACGCCACCACCTCTAGCAACTCGCAGACATGAGTCACAACTGTGGCGTTCGGAGCGCATTATGTCGGTTTGTGCCAGTTCCGGATGAAGACAGACTATGAACACATAAACTACATTATTATTACAGTAAGCTGAATCTGAAGAGGTGGGAATGCAAAAAAAGATGGTAGTTGGCAGTTTCATACTGAATTTTTGTGTAGGAAATTGGGGAGGAGGAGGGGGGGGGGGGAGTTGGGCTCAAACCAGGGAAAAACCAGGCTATGTGATACATTGACTTTGTTAGCCTTTGGGATCGTTACATGTCTGGAAATTCCGCCTCTTATTTTGCTACAAATCTTCAAATATCTTAACTTTGAGTCACATCCCACTTCACACACACGGCCAGTTCAAAGCGCCGCGAAGCGGCGCTTTGAACTGATCCGTTAATAAACTGCACACTTCTATGTACACATGTTTGTTCAGTGTGAGAATTCCATATTCGAATCCTGCATTGTTCGCGGATACTAAAATTTTAGTAACAATCATTTAGTAGTTTTTAACCGGTCGTGCTTTAATAGTATTGCCTTGATGATATAACTTGCATTTTTCTATTTCCTGATTTCTCGCTGTCTATACGGACTTACTCTATTCAAGTTTTGTCGAAAAAAGAATCTTTTCAGCAGGAAATCGGTGGATTTCAAAAAGTTTTTGGCGAGCTTCTAATATCACAAAAACAGAAATAAAATGAAAAAGGAACCATTCAAGCTTTCATCATCATCGATTGAGTAACAAAACCACAAACTTGAATCTGTATCGTTGGTGCAATAACTTCATCAACTCTTTTCGCTGCGAAAAGATCGTGCTGATTGTCTACAAAAAGTTATGATTTTCGCAGAAAGTGCAAAAGCGTTATTCGGGCTAAATACCTCGAATTATAATGCTTTGTTTATATGCCCAATGAGTATAAACTTCTCTCACTTGGAAGAGTAGATTCAACCGAGTACTGACTGTTTTGAATTTTTGTTTGCAACGTTTAGATTTTTTGAGCTAACCGTAAGTGAAAATGTCCCAAGGTTCGGTTGTTTTCTCCTGCGATTTGCTTTGTATAGTTTTATGGTAAATGTACAAATGAAGCAAATCCGTCTAGACGGCAAGTTTATGGACTTTTGTATAAAAACGTAAGAATTTTTGTGTCGTCACGATATTACTACGGTTGAGGGGTGACGAGAGGAGGCAATATTTCGGTACAAGGTCAAGTGTTCGATTTCAGTGGGACTTGTATTTGGATTTGTTTACTTGTACTTCTTGTACTCAAATACACCTGCGTAATTTTTCAACATTTTGACTCTATATCCATACGGGGAAAGATTGTAAGTAAGCTATAAACTGGAGGTCCAGATCTCAGGGTAGATAAAAAGATTAGCCCTCACTCAATGGTTAGTGACGTCCCAGTCTACGAATGGGGTTATTTTGCGGACATATGCGCTGTTTTCTAATCATTTTGATTTTAGTATGTACAGAGGAAATTTTCTACTTGAAATCAAAATTAATAATAATATACTCGTTCTAAGTTATTTGTGCCAGATCCAGGTTAGTACGGTGGTATCATTTATTGAAAGCATACCTTCGATACATAGAGCCACGTACTCTGGTAACCTTCACTTTGAGTGTCATGAGAGGTCACAACCTTCACCTGGAGAGGAATACAGAAGTCATCCGGGGTAAAGCCCGGATATTATGATATAACTAATGACTAGCTATGTAAGGATGAATGTGAATGAGACAAATATAGTAGTGACATCCAGAAAAAAGCTCAAAAAACCGAAGGATCGCGTTTTTATGGCCTTTTTTTGCTGAAAAGAAGGTTTTTCTTCAAAAATTCAGTTAGAAATTAGGATGAAACTTATCAATTAACCTTTCTGTAGATTGCGATTGAGCGTTGGAGGTTCATGAAAGCCGCTGGAATTCAATAAAAACGAGAAACTGCGCTGAAATCTTGCGCAGAGAGTCGCCACATAAATGCTGGTCTATCTCGTTATAGAGTGATTTTCAAGACCTGCGACGTTGTCAGTGCTCCTGGCTGTCTCATGAGGATCACAACGATATATAATATCATAGGGTTTTGTTATGACCCCGCGGAGATCAATGACCAGAGCCAAATGCCCCGCCGGCTCTGGTCTGTCTCCGCTGCTCGTCTGCGTCTCCGCGCGCTGCGCGCTACCTCGCTACCCCAAACGCGGGGCATTTGGCTCTGGTACCCTTTTCTTCGCTGTTTCGAACCCAATTTTAGCAAGCTATAATATCATTTTGAAGCTCTTGATCTCTATTTTCACGCTGACAACGTCGCAAGACTTCTTTTTAAGATTTAAAGGAGAAATCCGGCAAAAACCTTGTTTTCGAAAATCTCTCGTTTTTCTCCTAGTTTGACTCTTTTCACGCAGTTTTTTTGTGTAGTCGATAGGTCTTGTTTCTGTCTATAATGTTGACAACGTCGCCGAGCTTATTTCTCTGCTTATGCCGGCTTTTTTTGTGAAAATTACAAAAAAATGCGTTTTTCTTTACTTTATTCTTTTTCAGTGGTTTCGCAACGAATTTTCTCCAGCTTGGACGATACTTGCTCAGAATGATGAGCGGAAGAATCCAGACAACGTCGCAGGGTACAAAAGGGACGGCGCGAGGGTAAAAATTCAAAGGACGCATCAAAAATCAAAACCCCGGTGAAGGATTTCAAACCTTATTGCAGCATTTTTATCGTTTCTCTTGCTTTTTATATCTATTTTACGTCATTTTTTCTTCTCTGATCTTCTTTAAACAACCTTCACTATTTATGACGTCAGATGTTCAAACAACCTTCACTTTTGGCGCCCTGTCTCTAGACTATCGAAGGTATGATTGAAAGGTCAACCACACGATTCTCCTTGATTTACTCTTTCCACTGGTACCATACATCTTTACAGAATTTATCTGTGGCATTTCTACAAACCCTTAAGAAACCGAAATTATTTTTCAGTCAACCCAAAATTAAGCTGTAGATTTCGCGGTGTATATTCTAGCGCGAAAGATATTTGAAGAAAAAGTGGCCATCAATCAGTGACTAGTGACGTCTTAGCTTACGAAATGAGTTCGTTGTGCATCGCTTTGAGTCATCCGGGGTTCTAAAAACGTTCAGTACAATCGCCTACGACTTCCGTTTCGCGCTGTACTCCCGCGGCGCAGGTGTAAAAGTGCAAAAGAACAGCTCGTGCTGTTCGGCGTGTCCGACACAATTGACACACTTCTCGCGCTTGTCAAGAGCGGTGGTTAGGCCCGGTGAGGAGCTGTTGAACTCGCTTTGCTAGCGCTTTAGTGCACATGTCGCTGGATGTGGGCGTTCTGCTGCTGCCCATCTGCTTTCAGATGTGATGAATATCGACTCAAACTTATGCTTGTTCAGCCCTCACTTCCGCCCCCAGAAATCACTCAGACGTTTCGCGCCGGCGCCCCTCAAGCATAAAATCCAATGACTTGCCTTGTCTTTGTGGGCTACGGCTGGGCACACCTCATCTTCTTCATCACTCTTCGCCTCAGGATCGTTACTGTCATCTCCGCCATTGATCGTCATTTTGCAAAATCCTGAGAAGAAGTACATTTGCTCGCTCTCTACAAAATTTTTTCGTGATTTGATTATCGCCGAAAATAGTTGTGATTAACTAACACTTATTCCTCCGCTCATAAGGATACGCTCTTGTATCTAAGAAACACTTTCACATACCGTCAAGTCTTTTGTAACTTGATATCTCTGGCATATTATGTGCGCTATCTGACGTCTTGTTAGAATGAAACCTGCTTTTCGGAGAATTCCCCTTGTTCCTTTTTTTTTGATTGACTGTGTATATATTATCATGTATATATTATTATAATATTATATCAATTTAAAAGGTTCTGTCGCTTTCATTTTGGAAAAACTCGTTACTGCTTCCTATATGAACCTATTGACTCACAAAAAATACTTCCAGATAGAAAGTATATCTACTTCCCGATCACACCTTCGCAGCTCTTTGACGACAAAAGGCTCCAAAGTAAAACTTCGAATGCGAGCCCACACTTACTCGCGATCTTCGAAAATAAATTGTCAAAAAACTTAAACGCTGCAAAAAAAATCTGGGAAATGCTTTTCAGAGGTTGTGTGAGCTACTTTTCCTAACAGCGCCAAGATTATGCTGATCGAGCTCTTTCACGAGAATGTGAAGCATGCTCTCGAATTTTTTCGCAGCGTTTCAGATTTTTGACGATTTATTTTCGAAAATCACGAATTTGAGTGGTTACTCTATTAAAATTTTTATCTCTAGCCATTCGTTATCGAAGAGCAGCGAAGATGTGTTGCAAAGTAGATGAAATTTTCATCTGGAGGTATTCGAAAGTCAGTACGTTCGGAGGGTGAGAAGTTACGAATTTTTTTAAAATCAAAGCTACAGAACTTTTGAATCAACCTAATAGACAGAGGCATATTTCCACTAATTCTTAGCTAGAGGAGGTCTTGCTATAACTAGTAAGGGTGTTGTCGGTGCTGCGCATAGTGTACAGACTAACATATTAAATCACACATAATTCGAGGATACTTCCATTGTTCCTATCAATGCTTAACGTTTGCTTTACCATTGAAAATAATATCAGATTGTTAAAATTTCAGGCCGCTCTCGGCAAGATTATAAAATATCTTTAAATGAGCATTTGTATAATATTGTGAGAAAGTGCAAGATAGTACACACATCGTTGTGAATAAGATTATACGTCGCACTAGAAGAAAGTTATAATTTTCTTGGTGATATGGCACAAAGAAGTCAGATTTTAGATTTAGTCAGATTTTTCGTAATTTTTTTTAATGTCAATTTCCAAAAGAAGAATCAAATTTAGGTATAACGGATAGCTGCTTCGGCACCCACACACAATTTTTTGATATCTTACAATCAGATAATTTTTATTTCATTTCGCTTGGTCAAATATTGCTGATTTCCAACCCGATTTTTTTCGTAAGTCTTCAATCGCGTGTCAAAATAGAATCATGTGCAATCCTAGCCATATACAAAGCCGCAATTGGAGAGGAGATTGTGCTAAGGCGGAGTTTCTATTTGAGAATGGTGAGAAACTTCAATAGTCTTTTCTATAACATTAGACATAGTGAGTTGTTTGGCGTGACATTAGAATTCATGACCTGCAAAAAGTCATGGCTTTTGTTGAAATCATAAAATATCGGTGATGTGAGAACCATGATCTTTCAAGATTTCTGAACTTGTTACTTTCACTTTCCGCACCTTAATATCTCCTGTCTCTCCTGCTTATAAGAGGCAAAATGTTTGAGCCTTTCAAATGCAACACTCTTTTACGGTGTACAACTAAACAGGGACCAATTCACTCAATTGTTGTATCCCCAGCTCGAATTTCAGACTCAAAATCATATACTTAAAGGCTGCTGCATGACGAAGGCGCAATGGCGATATTAGCTGAGCGTGCGCGAACGCGATGCGCCCGCATCCTCACCGTTTTAGATCTCGCACCTCATGCGCTCTGCGGCTAATGAAGCCGCGTTCGCGCCCGAAAATATTGCGCCTTCGTCATGCAGCAGCCTATACAGATGAAATTCCTGCGGCTTTAGTGTACCTGTGTGGTACCGTATTTTAGTGTATTTATTTCAGAATTTTCATGTCTTAAGGAACTTTCCGACAAATATGTACCTCTGAAAAGTTTACTCGGGTTTCACATTGAGAAGTTTTACAAGGGGCTCTTTTCGTTACGACATTTGTTGCTGATATCAGCTTCAAAATCACATAGCAGGGGTTCCTTTCATTTTGATTTGGCATGTTAGCTCTGCTGTGATCGTTCATTGAGTGATCTTACCGACCACAGAAATGTGCGCTTGTTAATTTCTCAAAAAATTCGCTCTTTTTCCTTCTTTCCAAATTTTTTCTTGAAGCCTAAATTCAAAATGGCGCTCTTTTGTGTGAAGATGCATAAAGCTGACTTTCAAGGTGATACATAAGTTCACGATTAGCTGTTTCTGATATTTTATGCACTTTAGCTGAGCACTGCGAATTTATGGGAATAATCATAGCTTTTACATTTTTCTATTTGAGTGGTTTCCCACCCCACCATTGCGATGACAGGTATCTGACAATGGCGGTCCAGGATTTCGTTCAAGTGGGGGGGGGGGGGAAAGTTACGACTAAAGCGAACACAGAGAAGATTTTTTTTACAGGGTTGAATATCATTCCAATTAATTTCGAGTATAAATGAGTCACTTTCCCATTTTTATGACTGCAGATAATTTTCAAAAATTTCGCGACCCATTGCCTCATTGCCGTATGCCACTGTATACGAAAAAATTTATAGGGTGTAATGGAGGTGCGAACGTAATTGTTCTCAAGCTTTGGAGATATAGCAATATGAACGATTTTGAAAAAAGGCTAGATTTGCAAGTTTTTTTTTTTGAGTGTGCCACACCTCTCAAACGAATTCACGCTCTTTTGAACTTCTGTGCTCTTTCGAAATAGGTACAATAATCCTCTTACATAACATTCTCTCTACCTGCAATCCCGTGAAATAGTGCAAAAAATCTGATACATATGTGCGCTCAGTGTTTTTCTGCGTCACGTTCGAACAGCTGATCAACTCGCAAGTTACAAGTTGCGTATGAATTTTTAGCCTTCCTACTCGGACTTGCATCAGCGGACTAATCTATCAAAGGTGCCTCGATAAGAGCTCTTAAGTTCTGGGATAGTCGCACTTTCTTGCGTAACGGATTTGATTGATTGGTGTGTTTTCGTATTTCTAGCGAATCATTTAACAATCGTAAGCCTTTTTGCGCAGTTCAAACTTCAGGAAGTTGATGACATGCCACCTTCATGGAGTGGAAGTTTCATCGATAGCTGAAGGTGAGCGAATAACATAATTTGAGCTATTACCAGGCAATTTGGCTTTTTTTCAGTAACATTTAGGCTAGTTTTGGGGGTGTATGCCAAGAGTCGCGATTTTATTGCCAGGTAGACACCATTTAGCGCATCTTTAGCATTTTATAGTTCTAGAAGCAATACATTTTCCTTACAAGATATATGTGATTTTAACATGGATTATTTGATCTTATTATCTGAAATTTCAAATTATAAGTGTTGGGGTCAAAAACCCGTGAAAATGCAATTAATGGCGTTTTTGTGAGTATTTGAACTATTTTTCATACCAATCGCCCTCAAACTTAGCAAGTGGTAGCTTCAGATATTAAGTGAGCTTAAACACTTTGTATGGTATTTTTGAAAGTCTTTCTTATTGTTAGCTTCAAATTGGGCGGTAAATTGGTGACTCCTGGAGAAATCGCGCCTCTTGACCATCTCCCAATTTCAAATGTAGTTCTACATCTTGACTAGTGCGTAATTATCAAATTTACATATCAGGCCTCCCTCCCTTATTTGGGAGTTCCGAGAAAAGCCTATGGGTTTTTCTGTCTACTCTGTCTAAGAGCAGAAATAAAACGAATTCTATTCTAGTCTTATTTTAAATCTGGTTTTTTTTTTGTTGAAAAGAATTTCCGCTGTCACCTTAAGGTGCACTAAAAGTCAATCTTAGAACAAACAATAAAATTTTTGTGTAATTTGCGAATCAACTAAAGAGATCTGCTCTGATTGAAATCTTCGGGCTTTATAGAAGAAAAGCCTTTTTTACATGGCAAAAGCGAGCTGTACTGCCGCTTTTTCGCTGCGAACTGGTTTTTAGCTTTATCTTGCTGTCTTTCTTGAGAGCTTAGTAAACACTTCTATGTAAAAAGCTTTCTTTTGCTGGAGGATTTTTTGCGCTGAAATTTATAGCTTTCATGGCGGAAGTAAGTAGAGAATTTCACAAAAACATCGTAATCACTCACTTGTCAGCCGATCAGCAGCTAGGCGATAATCGTGCCGTCGTGAAGATCGTCCAGATCAATGCGAGGAGTGCTCTTGTCCGCGTTTGCGTAGGCTCTGCGCTCGCGGCGATAAGAGCCGACGAGCCGAGAAGGTGTGTAACAAGCGCTTGTCTCGCAAGCTCAGCGCGCGACTGAGCGGCGTTGCGCCGGGCAGAAGCCGCTGCAGCACTTGCGAGCTGCCCTCCTTCGTACCGACAGTCCGTCTCTCAACCCCGTTCCTCAATCTTCGACCCACTCACCTTTTTATTTCCTTTGTACACCAATCGATTCGACTGGCTCCACATCAGCTGAAATTTTTCCTTTTTATTCCTTTTTTCTACACGAAAATCGCGATTTGTTTGCTTATATTGTTTGCCCTGTCAACTGTGATGACAATAGTGAATGCTTCTTTATTGTCTTTACTTTGTTCATTCTGTTTACTACAAACTTTGGACCTTATTGCATCATAAAAACGTTATAAACTGGCCATAAAAATACCTCATGAAATTGCTCTATAATTCTTCGTCGTTTATTCCGTTTATGCATCCGAGAAAAGACAGATCGAAAAAGTGTTCAGTTCCATGCGGCATGACTTGTTCAGTGAATTCCGTCCGTGTTTTTTTTTTTCGGAACAATGCCCAGCCATTGTCATTTGATGAGCACATGTTCATCGAGCTATCAATTTGTGTACAAGCAACTGTGGTCGATTAACATTGCGAAAAATCAAGATGATAAAATAGTTTGTGATCGAAAACCATATCACGTGCTTCGATTCCCACTTTCATTCCACTTCAATTTTTTGAGTAAATTTTTTTTTTTGAAACAGTATTATATCTCCTCTTTCTCCCTCTCTCTTGCGTTTACCTAACACCTTTTGAGAACTTTTCTTTATTTCCCATTTCCCCCTAAGACAAAGCTTTTATATCACAACACATGATGAACAGCGATTTTTTTAACTCTGGAAATATCGATTTTCTCTCTGAGACTCGTTTCAGGTTCATGTGTAATGAACATACCAAATGTTTCGACAATTCATTCAAATCTGATCCGATCCGATTATGCCTCCTTAACATACTGTTTGGCTTGTTATATAAAATCTGTCTATAGTGCCTATTGAAAATTTGCTCGTTGTTCCATCAGTCAAGTTAGGATGAAGAATCTCTCATGAAAAAATCAAAATTTTACAGCTACAAAGCTTTTTTTTGTAAGTTTCGGCGGAATTATTGTTTTTGCCTGCCTTTTTGTCTCATTGTTGTCATCAGTGTTTCAAAATCAAAGCCATTTGAGCATCTAGTGCCTAGAGCATTAGTGTCAATATGTGCATGTCTCCAAAAGCAATCAAGCTAATGGTATTTCGAATGTAGACATCATTTCCCCCCTTTCCCTCAGGAATTGAGGCCGCTAACATGTTTTCCATATCATTTTCAAAGTAAGCACATCACATGTATAGGAAAGAGTTGACTTATCAGCATTTTTGTAATTTTGTATTAACCTATCAAACTGCGCTTAAGATCATGTTTCTTATATTCTATAACAAACAAAAGTTCCATACATCCGCAGTTTTGGAAAAACTTCGCTCTCTGTCACTTTCAACAAAGAATGCGAATTCAAACTTACAACAGGATAAATTTTCCTGTGTTTATATTAGTCCCGAAAGTTTTGTCCGTTTTTTCAACCTATCATAAAAACACGCGGAACGAAGATAGAGAAACGCTCCAAGCACTATCCGAGCATCTTTTCCTCCTCTTTCTACCTGTCATGATCCCATGCCGATTACTCTTTTGCTCACTGAGATAACGCCAAAATTTCGAACCCATGGTTTTTACTACGTCCAAGTTTGGCAATTTTTCACGATCTTCAATTTCGACTTTCGGAAAAGCTCTGGTAGCAACTAGATGAGCAAACAAAGAGCAGTATAATGCAATTTTGCGGCATCTATAGCTAGCCTGGAAAATAATTTAGAATTATTTTTCTGAGGCTATCCAATTCCACTTTTGGTGATGCCAAAAGCCAGACATCATGAAACGGCGCACAACTAAGGTGTTATTCGATGCAGCTTTTCCTCCTCTTTCCACTGAGTGTATTTTTCCTCCAATTTGTGGGGTCTTTAGCGATAAAATTTCCATAATTTTTGAATTTGACCCCCCCCCCCGGCGTATACCGTAAAATGCGAAATCTTATATTTCGAAGCGGTAAACGCTCAGTTGCTTTGTAAAAATAGTGAATAATCGTAATCGATCTTTAAGCTTCAAAATCCGTTGATTTATTAGTGTTCGAGGCGTTTCTGTATTTTGAGACTTCGCAAAAATGAAGACTTTTGAAAAAAAATCATCTTAAAAAATACTGAAAAGCCAGCTGGGTAAGCCAAAAAATTGCATTGCATTGCCCTTTGTTTATTCTGTCTAAGTGCTATTAAAGGTCTTCCAAAAGTTGAAAATGAAGATTGTGAAAAATTGCCAAACTTGGACATAGCAAAAACACGGGTTCGAAATTTCGGCGTTCATCTCAGTGAGCAAAAGAGTAATCGGCATGGGATCATGACAGTTAGAAGGGAAAAGCTGCGTCGGATAGTACCGGAAGCGTTTCCCTATCTTCATTCCTCGTGTTTTCATGATAGGTTAAAAAAACGGACAAAACTTTCGGGACAACCTAATATGTGAAGCTTTGCAAATTTTTGTGCAAAATTAACTGCAAGTAATGGGATGATTTTCTCGTACATTTCAGGTAATTTTTCATAATTTTTTGTGCAACTTAAATTGCGAAACTCGTGCAATATTGTTGTTTCGAAAGATTTTCTGCAAAATGTTCACTTAGAAGTGTAGAAAACTCTCAAGTGTGGGACAGCTTACTTAGTGGTACCTTCAAAATCTTCACTCTAATGTTGACTCTTTACTGTTTTGAATATTCGTTCTATCTTTCGCTAAGGAATGTCACAGACTTTCTCTTCAATTTTATCCTGTTTCTGTCTGTTCAAAACAATTTTTATTCGAAATTGGATGCTATGTATCATTATGATGCTTTTGTAACAGAACCAGGCAGTGAATCATGTTTTCTACTTTTTTCTTTTGCTTCTATGACCATAGCACGCGATTATTGACTTGCATCGCCCCGCTAAGTTATGATAGGCATTTCATAGGTCCCCGCAAATATCAAAAAACCTCACGGACTGAAGAAGCGGGGGCCAGCCGGATGTTTGTCAAGTGCACATTTGCCTGCTGCTACGGATACGACTGAAAGTCATCTCGATACTTGAGGGCGTTCCAAATGAAAGAAAACGCTGCCATTTAATAGCTTTTTTATGGCACTTACTGTTAAATGTATCTGGATTAAGATTAAAAAATGCACAACTGTGGTTCCACCCTTTGTTCTATATCTGGGCTTTTTCAAATGCGGCATCGTTTACATAGTCTTGGTACAGTATCTAGAATCTGCAAAACGTGAAGTGCGCTGGAGATGGGACCTTGCCCACCTACAGTATGTTACCGTAACCGAAGCCATGATTGCTGCAAAAGACGCTTGCGAAATCAAACGCCGATTGGATTTGCTTCCAACATGACACTAAATGACACTAATTGCGCCGCGTTTGCTGAAACAGTTAACTGGCTGAGCCGGCGCCTACCTTAAAGGCAGTGTCCCGGCAGATTCGGGTCCTGGGGGATATACGTGTGGTGGGGTTCCTGGTCACCCCATCGACCTCCAGGCGCACTCCGGCTCGGTGATGTTCCCCCTGGGCCGAGAAAATGGCCCTTGAACAGGCGCGCGCAACCCCAACTGGCGCGCGCTTGGACGGCCTTCCCCGCATGTTCGGCGCGGGACCCCACGAGCGCACTCCCCCATTATGCATGCTATCCAAAGCAAGAATTACAGGCGGCAGGATCTTCGTCTGAGGACCTCCCCCAACTTTCCATTAAAAATCTCGTCCAAGTTGCTTTTCTGGAATTGGGAAAATGCCCCAAAATCGGCCTTTTCAGCCCGTTCAAAGCTCAAATTCGGATTCTAAGTGGCGAAAAGGCCTAAATCATGCAAAAAGGTGGAGGTGCAAAATCTGCCGGGACACTGCCTTTAAAGGCACCGTCCACCTAAAATGGAGGTTGGCGAGATTATGATGGCATGCTAGTGTGGGCCCTCATACTAGACAAACCTCCAAGCTTCGCCGCAGAAGACTGCTTCTGAAGCGAGAAATCCGCTCCGGGAGCAACAAAGTGGGTGGGGCGCCCCCGGCAGTCCACCCAACTCGAATTCAATGTTTTTGTCGCCTTCAGGCCTTCTGAAAGCCCTGATTCCGAACATGGAGTCGAAAATTCGCGAAACCCCCAAAAATCCCTGTTTCGAGAACCCTCTGCAACAAGTGCAGGCGAGTTAAAGCATGCAAGTGGGCGGGGCGACCGGGGGCGCCCCGCCCACTTTTGTTACTTCCGGAGCGGATTTCTCGCTTCAGAGGCAGTCTTTTGCGGCGAAACTTGGGGGTTTGTCTAGTATGGGGGCCCACACTAGTATGCCATCATAATCTCGCCAACCTCCATTTTGGGTGGACTGCCTTTAAAGAGGATCAAGTGGATGAAGTGGATAATATAGCTCTTGCTTGAAAGGACTGATTCAGGCTTGTTAGCGATGCCTGAATCAGTCCTTTCAAGATGTACCAAGACCGCTCAGAATGAAATCCCCTTTATAAAGGGGATTTCATTCTGAGCGTCGCAGTGGGCACGGTTCGGGTCCTCGCTTGAGCCACTCGCTGCGTTCGCGGACCGGGGCATTTTTTCAAACTCCCCAGCCATCAGTGCCTAGCAATGCGGTATATCCCACACTCCAGGCGAGAAACCCAAGCGAGGCGGCTTGCGAGGATCCAAGCCATGCAGACTGTGACACTCATATCGGGATCTCCTGTGCGCACGAGGCTCGCGAGGTATTTGCTTTGACGTACAACTTTGTTGATAAAAACGTCTTGTAGTAAAAGAATTGCGGGATCTGAGGCTTTTGGTTTCGAAGCACTCCGGTGCTGCAATGTGGTGGGTTTCATTGCTAGTGCAAACTGTGCAAACACTTTCAAAAATGGTGGCGATCGACGGTCTATCCAAGTAAGAAATGCACGATAATCTTTCATGTTTCTGCGCCTGAATGTTGAAAGACCCATGGAAAATTGCAGTGAAATCAAGCCTTATTGCCAATTCCATGGGTGTGCACATATTGGCGTAGAACCGAACTCGCTCCATACTTGATCCGCTTGATCCACTTGATCCACTTCGCTATTGGTCATATCTGGGCTGGGGTTCAGTGGGTTTTTGATTACCGTGCTTTTGTCGAACAC